GTTTAATGCAGTCCAAACTAGGAGTGCCATGGCACGTCTCACTGCCTCTCGTGAGCCATCTGAGTCCGTGTTGAAATGGAGGCTCCCAAACGCCTTCATGGTGCCTCTGTCGCTGCGCAGCTTGCTGCCCATGCCTGTACCTATGAACCATGGCACCGGTGTAAGGAAAGTTCTGACATACAGCATTTTGAAGGCAGGGTTGATGTGGTTGAGTGTTATGAGTGATGTCAGTGATTTGCCTGACTTGCAGTCATTCTCCCTTTTATTTGTCCTTCAGTGCTATAATTACAGGAGTTATCAGACCGTGTGCCGAAAAATGACAGCGGTCAGAAGGGAATTTCAATTCACCAGCACCTGCAAGAGAGTTTAGGGAAATGTACCATTTTGTTTGATACTTTTAATACATGATTTAATAAGATTTACAGTACATATGCTTTAAATACTGTCTTTTTTTTTTTTTTTTTAAGTAGGGAAAAAAGTTCACTCTCAGTGTAACTTTATCCATAGTGGTTATTTACTGTATTGAGGAAAATGATAAGAAGTCCGAATTGGACTGATGATGGAAACAGACATTTACATGAGACAGTAAGTGTTTGAGGAGTACAGTCTGGATGGGTAAGTGCATGATTTTGAAATACTTTCCAAGATTACTCTTAGAAATCCTAATTTATCAGACCTGGTAAACTGGTTTCTTTTTGAAGAGTCTTAATTTATTTTCTTCAGAAGAAGTCCGGTAAAATCTCTGAGCATGTGATTTCTTTGTTCCTGAGCAGCATCTTGAAATGCTAATAAAGCTCTGTACCATTTGCTTAATGCAGAGTGTTTGATCCATGCTTTCTTGATTCCATTATGACTGAGGCAGATGCAGAGAGCTTTCTTGTGCTGAACGTAGGTACTAGTTACGGGGAGGTTATTTGTCGTTGCAAATGCAAGCTGAATGAGGCAGTGTCCTCTCAGGTGTCTATCACCAATTTCAGATTTTCTTTATGGAATCCTGCTGGCTGACTGATCATCCTTCTTCAGCTGTGACGAGCTAATCTTTCCTTGACATCGTAATCACAATTCTTGAAAGGCCTGCAGAGCAGTGGCTTGCCTTTGGTCGCTGTTGTGTCTGACGTTGATATATATATCCAGATCAGTGAGATTGTTCTCGTATCTTTAGTTTCCTTATAAGTCTGGATGGAATTAAGAATGATTATTCCTAGAATATCTCTGCAGGCTTTACTTTGTCACCTGCCGCATAACCAATTTTAGTAAAAGATGTGGTCATTTGCAACATCTAATTGGTAATGAAACAGTGATATATGGATCTCTTACACATCGTTGTTCTTGCTGTATGTTTGGGTTCTGGCTGCCTGGAGTACTGACACCAACTTACAGCTTGTAGACTGTCAGACTGTCAACTTGTTCTGCACCTTTAAATTCTACCCACATTTTTTCATTTCGTGGGTAGTATACAGAGCAGCTTTAATGGCTTGTGTATTTATTAGAGAGGGTTTGAAAGAGCACCTACGTCGTTTAAAGGCATGCATACAGCAGCACAAAATTCATTACCCTGTGCCACATGCTGACCATGATAATGCGCAGGAGATTGCCTGCCTCTTCCATGGTGTAACTTTATGGTTTTCTAAACAAAGTCTCCTGTATCTTTATTGGCTTTTTTGTTAACCCTTAGAATTAGATTTTTTGAAATCTTTTTGTGTGCAAGAGCAAAGAGCTGTCGTTTTTATCTTTGTGTGCTCTCCAGGCGCATGGTGGCCTTGAAGCCCCGTTGTCCCATGCACGTTGGGCGTCCATTCTGTGGTTAGAGTGGAAATAGTTGGACTTTGTGAGTTCCCTGGGCACCCATGTGTCTTTTCAGAATCGTTGGTGTTTGCCCTTGTCCCCACCTCCAAGTCTTTCTCCATCCTGTGCCTATCTTCTCTGTCACACGTAGTTTTAGTCCTTCCTGTTCATTGTGAACGTTAATGCAGTAGCCAGGTAGTGGCCTGTCTGCAGGAGGGCAGTTCAGGCAGTTCGGGTCTGGTTCTTCTCTCTCTGACAGTAACTGTCTGCAGGAGATCCTGCATCTTTCTCTGAAAGAAAGTTGTGCTTTTTGAGAAGTGATTGTCTGGAAAGCCTGGGATGTCACTGTCGGGCTCTTGGAGCGCAGGTGATCAGAACTGACTTTGTATTTCAGTTTGCTCTGGGGCTTTGCAAAGTATGCAACAGCGAGTTTCTTGAAACTATAGGAGCGACTTAAAGCACTCCTGGCCTCCTTTCATTTCTCACTTGCTTCTTTAAAGTTTTAAACATTATTTTAGAATGTAAGAGAATTCCAATTTTAGAGTAGTGCTGGCAGCAGATCAGAAGTGGGCTGAAACTTTTCGGCTTTTTAGGGGTCGTGAGCAAACAGCCCTGCTCTGATGAACTTTGTTTTGCCATATGACTATAAAATATTCATAGAAAGGTAGGTGTGTGAAGGCACCTATTTTTTCAATACATCTAGGAGTCTAAGATTCTCAACTTATATTTGGAAGTTTCTTTTCTTGCTTTATGGTTGTAGATTATGTTTCTTTGAAATGTGTGAACTTCTCTATTCTAAAACAGTAATAATGATGTTATCTAAACTTGATGTGTAGGTGTGTTTATCTAACTTTGAAATACATCAGTTGCCTTGCTGGGTTGCTTTGTCTGCACATTCAGAGTATTTGCAATGATCCTGTGCTTTTAGTTGGAGAGAAGAAAAATGGAAATTCAAGGTGTTGATAAATCAAGGCCTACATTCTAATTGTTGGAAATAGCAACTCTAGTAGTTGGCGGATTTATAAGAAGTCACTGTAATTGTTTTACCTGTGAACAAGACCATTGATTTCATCAAATATCTGTGATTCTTAGCTTATCCCCTCTCATATAATGTCATCTGTCAGTAAAAGCAGAGCTGATAGGTGTCATAATTTACAGCTAACTCAATCTGTCAAGGAAATGATCTTATTGTCCACCTTGCCATTTTGTAATGAAGCTGTGGATGGAGGTTAGCAACAGTGTGTTCACCCTTCTGGAAGTCGTGGAGGATGGGAGGTACTAATGCGTTCTGAGCTGAAAAGCTCACGCTTGACCTTGATGATGAAAGTTTTTCCTATCATGCAGCAGCAGTTGAGCCTGAATTGGCTCTTAAGAAGTCAAAAGGTCTAATCAACCTAATGAACAAACTCAGTCATTAGTACTTCGGGGAAGGAAGTGTGGTAGCACCATACTGCTCTGCCCAGCTGCTGTGCGTGTGCTGCGTGGAGCGGAGTGAGGCTCAGCTGGGCACCAGGAGCTGCTGGCTCTGGACGCAGCAGTGCTGGGGGAGCTGCTGCTGGGCACAGCCTGCTGTCCACAGCACTCGCATCCCTCTGCCATGGGACAAACGTTACGTTGTAGGTTATAGGAAACGAAGCTTATGTTCATTATAGTAGTTAGAAAGTGAGGATTAAATGAAAGCTGAACTTCCTTGTAGTGAACTACTGCTCCAATCTGAACATGAGCTAAATCTATGCTTTTTTTTGTGATATTGTTCCTGCTGTTTTCACACTCCAGTTTTTGTCTGTAGCCACAAATGGTTTTTGTTGTGTTCCTGTTGTTGTGTTGTGTTCCAACAGCTGAATTTGGGGAAGCCTTTTTCACGCTAATCAAGTAAATACCTGCTACTGTCAATCGAAGACAGGTTGGTATTTTTTAAATTAGGTTAACCATTCCGAAACGACAGTTGTCACATAAGAAACCTGCTTTCTCCTCCAAAATCTTGGAAATTCTTGGGCTTCAGGAGAAGATGGCTCATACATTTTTCAGGTGCTCACTTGGGATGGGTCCTTTCCTCAGGTTAGGAACACCCTGTGAGTCTGGCATTTGTTGGCTGCGGGGCTGGGGGTGAGGTACATCACGTAGTCTCACGTTGATTCCTTGGGTCAGGAGCAATTAGCTTACTACATTCTGATTATTTCAAGGCAAGTAAATCCTTCACATTCCTCATAAATTGCATTAAAAACTGTCAGAACTGCTCCCACTGTTTGGTGACAGTGGCAGGGCCAGTTTGGTGGCCGTGTGACAGCTTCCTGCAGAAGTGATGGGGAAAACCCAGCTCCCTCCACAGTGCAGTGAGTGGGGCTGTGAGCAGGCCTTGCGCTCGCCTTGCTGTCCCGCCTTCACGTGGCCAATGGCAAACCAGGTTTCTAATACAAAAGGCTTTTGGAAATGCAGTGGTGGTGCACATTTAAAGGTGTGCTTTCAGGTTTTTTTACTGTCTAATGTTTATTCTAAACTCTCAACAGATAAAAAAAAACAACAAATACATTTTAACATGGTTATGAAAAAGCCTTCATATTAATTATACATCATTGCAATTTTATCTTGCTTTGCTACTTTCTTGGTTTTAATTCAGTAAATATATTTGCTTGTTACACTGAGTATTTGTCGATTTAAGTGTGGAGGTAATTTGTGCCCTTATGGCAGGTGCACAGCAGACTTCAGCATTAACATAACTCATTAAAATAAGATAAAAGTAGAGCTGCAAAACAATCTCCATCTTTTGCCAACAAGGATGTGAAAAAGAGAAATTTCAGTCAATTCAGTATATGAAAGTGTAATCTTTCTAAACTGTGGAAAGAACTGAGTAGACGTTGCTGACTTGTTTGTGCAGGTTGACTGAAGAAAAGATGAGCACAGTATACAAAATTTCGATGACTTGGTGTCATATTTTGGAAACTTTAAGTAAAATTACCTGTTTTTGGCTGATGAGAGGTCCTTCTCCAGCTTTATTAGTATGTGTAGTAAGTGAATGTGTTTTAATTTGTGATGCATAATTTGCCACTGTTTCTCAGTTACCAGATTAAAACCTGGAAATAAGCTGCAGTTTGCTGAACTTGATGCAAGTTTTATTTATCTGTTTATTTTGGAAAGGAGGTAGATAAAATGGAGACAGTGGATTTAAATGGATTAATTACAAGCTTCTTCGGTGTTTAATCCTCTGAATTCTGCAGGGCGAACCCATCACTTTTTGTGAAGAAACGTTTGTGTCCCATCGTTCTGCAGTCATGAGGCAGTTCCTTCAGAACGCCATTCAGCTCCAGCTCTTCAAGCAGGTACTGGCTTCATTGCTCTAGTTGCTCTAATGCAGGAGAGTATTTTGCAGTACAGCTGTTTTTCATTGCTTTCTTTATTGCACAGAAAACATATTATTGTTGAATATGATGTTACTACCTCAAGAGGGCTGAGAACATGGATGTACAGACAAATGTTATTTTTTATAGCATTTTGTTTTGGTAAACATTTTGCCTTTTTTTTTTTTTTTTGCATTTTCATTCCCTTTCTGGGTCACTTCTTTATGAGAACATTGTCCTTGCTGCTGCAAATGTAGAATAGAATCTTTCTGGAAAAAACTCTTAATGCTGATATTGTAGTTCATCGATGGCCGTCTGGATCTTCTTAACTCCGGGGAGGGCTTCAATGATGCTTTTGAAGAAGAAATAAATATGGGAGAGTATGCAGGTAAGCAAGACGTCCTTCCAGGTACTTTCAGCGGTTGTCCCTGACTTGCCGTTTTTGGCTGTCTGACATCGTGGTCATTGTTTGCACTCATCTCATTAGCAGTGAGAGCTCTGTAGTATCTGAAATTTAAAACTGTTGTTTCTGCATAAGGAACTTTGAGTCACTTATCACAGTCTGAATGAAATCGGTTTGGCCTTAGAAAACCTCAGCTTTACCTCTTGGTTGAAGTACAACTGAAAGAGTTATTGCAGTGCCAGACACTGAAAAAACCGGGTCTTTACCCAGAGTCACCTAATGTTTCTTTTGGCAACCTTAAAAAATCTCAGCATTCTCAAATGCCTGAAAGAAAGTCCAGATAAAATAGAGATTCCTCTTCTCAAGTAAAAGAAAGAATGTAAATACCTGATCAGTTTTTGGTTTTGCTGTTTACAGTAAAATGGAAGTATGATTATCCTCTCCTGTAGTGCTTGTGCTGCTAGAACCACTGAGTGCTAACACTGCATTTCTGGCTTGTTTTCCGTGTGGGAGAGTTACACTTTATTTTTGTGGTTCTGTCTAGGTAGTGACAAATTGTACCTCCAGTGGCTCTCTACAGTAAGGGTAAGAACACAAAACACTTCCAACAGGCATTCTAACTCTCACTGGACCATTGAACAGTTCTGCATGGCTGTAGACAAGAACAAGACTAATTTGTCTCCTGTAGGGTTTAGCTGTGGTGAACTTGAGCTTAGCTGTGAGAAACTAACATGCTCTTCAGTCGGAAAAAAAAGAAAAAAGAAAATGTACATTAAAATCAACACAGGAATTCTTACGTGTTTTGGAAACAGATAGAAATAAGTTATTGTTATTTGAGGAAGAAATGTGTTTTATCCTTCTTTACTAAAAAAAAAGGAAAGAAAAGGGACCATTGCCACTGCAAAACGCTGCTCCAAGTAGTAATTGGCATCTGGTTTTAGACTTCTCTTTTAGTGCCTAAAATATGATACGATGTATCAAAAGGTAAAATATTTCTTGTTTAAGAGTGTGAGTCAGTAGGAAGGGCCAGTTTCTTTCCTGACAGACTTGTTTCTGCGCCATTCCATTTGCCTTTTTTCTGGTTATGAATGGAATTATGTTCCTTATACAAAAAGGCTGGCCCCAGGATTATCTTGATAATTCTGAATGAGCAGCTATACCTTATGAGAGTAATGTAAAAAATCTCATAGTGTGGTTGGATGGAAAAACCTACATGCATTTCTATACATAAATACATAGGATGATGATTTTAAAATTATATTAATTATAATTATAATTATATTATATATTAATTATATTTATATTTTAAAATTATAGTGGATGGCTGACAATTAATATGAAAATCTGTGTGATTACATTTGATATTTGGTATTTTTTGTTAAAGATCAATTGTTCTGTAGAAACATATGTAGCAGTTTTAAAAATTGACTGCTTGTGCATCTGATGTCTGAAAGTATGATTTTGCACAAAAATAGGAAAACAGAGTTTTATAAGATTTGATTCTTTCAGTTTTGCCCATTTCTTTTATCAAGAGAGGTGCTGTTCAGCAGGTCAGCGTGTGGAAGATGTGTAAAACGTCGACGGATTGTTCTGTCTGACATTGTGCTTCCTTATGACTTATTATATTTATCACGTGCAAATCAACTTCTCTGGGATTGTTTAGTACTTAGATTTCTTTCACCTTCACTTTATCCCTTTATCCATTTAGACCTTGGAAAAGGAAAATTAAAAAAAAAAAGAAAAGAATTCCAATTGAATATTTAGGGTTACCTGAAACTGAGTTTTCTGCCTCCAATATTGATTTGGTAGGATACTTTTTTATTCAACACGGTTAGGATTTTAACACAATGTACAGGACACCTTGAGGGTGAGTGGAGCAGTCATGTAATACTGTTTTATGAGTTGACCTGTTAGTACCACAAGAAACGGACATCTTTTAATTTGAGAACCACTCTGTTAAACAGCGCCAGGCTTCCTCCAGTAAAACAGAAAGAAAGATTCAATCCGTTTTTACTTTTGTTCTCTTTTATTTAATTTAAGATTGTAATACTGTGCTCTGCTAATAAACATGGGTAATGCTTTGTTAAAGTTAAGAATGATGTTAAGAATGGACTGCTATTGGCTTTAAGGAGCTTTGATAAAATTAATTCCATTGTTACTTTAATTGTAGAAAGGAAGTGGAGCCATTTTAAACACAGTAAAGACCAAAGCTAACCCTGCCATGAAGACTGTCTATAAGTTCGTAAGTACCAAGTATTGGCTTACTACTGAGATAAGAGTCTAATTATAATCCTGTTTTAACCTTTCAAATGAAACTCAAGGCTTGAATTCATTTTCTTGGGCTCAAAAAATTATTTGAAATATGTATTCATTTCAATTTCAAATTTAAATAGAAAAGTCATTTTGAAATTTAAACATAATTGAAATGCAGAGGAGAATGAGAACCTGCGATTTCTTTTGTAAGTATAGATGATGTATTCTATTTATTTCTGGGAAACAGTGCCTGTATACTCTGCTAAGCAGCTCTACCATCTCATCATTACTCAGTTGGAAATCATTGTTACCTCAGGTTTCTCTGCTTGCAGTTTCATCGAAATAAGGGAATCCTCTCATTTTCCAAATTGTTCCATCTTTTCTAAATGTCAATTAATTTTCCCTAGAGATTTCTTATACATACTTATTTAGAGTCCAACTTACTGAGTTATTCTTTAAATGAAAATGTTTTTGGTTCTGTTAACAAACAGTAGCATGTTACTGGATTGTCATGTGTGCCTGCCACTTTTGCTGTGCAAGGCAAAACAGCACAGAAACAAGCGCAGGTTTCTGTAAGCTCAGTTTTAGGAAATAATGCTACAAAAAGCATTGAGATAACTATTTTTCTTTTCCTGCTTTTCTCCAACCTGAGAGAAATGAGTAGGATGAAATTGGTTCTACTAAATGGAACAGACATCCAGGAAGAAGTTTGCAGGTATTGATCATTAACCAGTAGCAAAGATAAATAGGTAGGGGGAAGGACAGAGGGTGTAGAGTGTGAAGAGATGAAAGATGTCTCTGGCATCAAAGCAGAAAGCAAAATTTCTGTAAAATTGAATGTATGCTTAGTATTTCTTTATTATTGCTTTAGCTTTCTATTTGTTTCAATGTTTCAGTACCCTGTTTCAATTTTTTCCTTGCCATTTTTTAGTAACTGCAGAAGGTGAATCTGGATGTACTGATATCAGACATAGTTACTGCTAGAAATAGAGGGAGATTTTAACTTAAATTAATTTTTCATGCAGGCAAAAGATCATGCAAAAATGGGAATAAAAGAAGTGAAAAACCGCTTGAAGCAAAAGGTACTTGAAGTTCTTATTCAAAATGTGTAAGCGCCATGTATGAAACACTTACTCACAAAAAGCATTATGTGATCAATAGGAAGCTGTTTGATACAGTGTTGTTAGCACACTTCAAAATGCATTACCAGCTGTCCTGGATTTTTCACACTGTTGTAAATATTCACAGACCAGAATAACAAAACAACACAACAACAACAACAAAAAACCAGCCATCTTCAAGCGCATTAAGACTGACTTAAACCCATAAAAGCCAGAAAATAGAGTTTTCTATTTGGAGTGTTCCATCTCCTGTCCATTTGGCTGGGGCATTATGGAAGGGGACTTTGCATGAACTGGGAGATCTTTCTCACAGAAATGGCAATGAACTTCTTCCAAATGGCAGATTGTTGTCATTTCTGCAGGAAAAATTGCACAGCGTCCCTTGTTGGGCAAAGGATTTACACACTTCATGGCTGTATACTGTAAAGTTTAGGCAGAAGGAATTGAATTAAGTGTGTATATTCAGTTCAAATCTGAATTTTTGCTGCAAAAAATACTCACACTGTTTGCTGTTCTCCGAATCTGTTTTTGTTTATAAACAGTGCAATTCCCAGAACACTGAATTGTGTTTGAGGAAAGTGTTATCCAATTTTCATTGCTCCTTTTAAGCCAGAAGCATGGTTGTTCTCATACATGCCTTATGGATGAATGGTTGATTCTGCCTTGGTTTATTTCAGATACTCTATTTATTCTTTGGAGCTACTAGAGAGTTTTGGAAAAACAAGATAGCTGATTTGTTAATATAACTGAAGTTCTTATTTAGAATTTGTTGCATAACAGGGTTGTGTGTGTGTGTGTGTTTCGTCTGTGCTAGCAGTAATTTTTTCACTAAATTTCTTAAGATAGTACTGCAGTGTTCTCATATAGCACAAGTAGAAATCTGCTGTAACATGTCCACAGAATATTAATACAAAGGGATTCTTCTGTAGCAGGGTTATAAACTCATGAAATTAACTTTGTGTACAGTGCACAGTCTGTAGATACTCTAGCAGATTGCGAGAGGTTTGGGGAAAGACAAACCACTTCAGGTGCTTTTAATTCGATTTCATCACATTTACTACTTTGTATGTGACCACTTACAGTATAATATGAAAATATTAAATAGAAACATGAAACAGTTTTCTTGTGCATGGAAATTTATATATAATTCCATGTGTTTCTCTTCTGGACATAACCTTCATGAATAATAAAATGGTTGCCCTTCTCGTGTGCATTTTGAAGCAGTTGGTGGTGTGTAAAATAACCAGATTGTTTTCCTGTATCTTAAATGCTAATATAATTGTATGTTATTCTGTGACATTTGTATAAACGGCTCAGAAACATTCCTTCATTGCTTTGTTTTATTATTTTTGTCTTCCTAGTCCTTCAAGCAGCAGGCATTCCCTTTTAAAAAACACATACAGCATTTACAAATAAGTGGCCCGATTTCCTTACTATGTGGCATTTCTGTGAAGTAGTGAAACGTGATTGCTCAATATATATTTTCACAAGAGCTGAAAAGACTTCTGTAGGTAGCTGACACATACTGTTCTACCTCTTCTTTTTTCAATAGATCTTTTCTTTCCCATCCTCTTCTCCATTTTAAGTGTAATATGAGAAAATATTTCTAAAGAGATACCGCCCTGTTTAAGATGATAATAGCAAAAATTACACCACCTTACCATTTTTTTAATCTAGATGCCTGTGCTGCTCTATTTCTATGTCTATTAGGTGGAAATGAGGGAGCACATTGTATTTTTCATGCATTTACTTGCAGTATACACAGATGTTTTGTGTTTGAAATTCTGTTGTTGCTAAATGCTAAATTTTTGCCAAATTTGGGGTGACAGTCTTCATATTCTATAGATAACCCGAGGTTATTTTTAAACTGAACTTACTGTCCACTGCATTTTAAAATATTATTTCCCATTATTAATACAGAAAGTATGAAGGCCACTGGTAAGGAAAAGTCAAATATAAACATCCTTTTTCCAGTTTTCACTGCCAAATACGAGCAGCTTCTGTACAAGACAGAATTTAAAAATGCAATAAAGCTAGAGGTCTGCTTCCTACAACTCTGCATAGCAATGATGACCTCTTAAATATAATCAAGAGCCCATTTTGCCCTTGGTCTGCTCCAGTCTTGGGTTTGAATTGCAAATGGGAAATGCAGGATTGACCTGTTGAGAGGTCACTGTGGTGTGTGTAAGGTCCTTCTTTAATATGATAGTAGAGATTGAATGGGGTTCTATTTCCATCCCTTGTTCATTTGTGGTACAGTATTTCAAAGCAACAGAAATAGTTTTCAGAGGATTCTTATGAGTGATAGCAAATAATTGTTAATAGATACAGCATGGTAGCTTTATTTTATATCTGCTACAGAAGTTTTTTCTTCTTTCTCTTTTTCTTTCTTTCTTTCTTGCTTGCTTTTTTTTTCTTTTTTCCCTTTTGTAAAGGCCGCTATTTCTGTTTTACAAATGGACCATGGTGGTCAAGTCACTCTGTTATTGGCTTGTTTGAAGCTTAACTACACAGAATTAGGAAGAAGGAGGAATGCGAATGGTACCATCCTCAACTTTCAGTAAGGAGAATGTAACTCACTGAAAGCTGATGGATAAGACAATTTATATAAATGGTAGGGCACTTGGCATTAATGTATTCAACATTATTTTACTTACTAGAGCCCCGCGTGGCTCTAGTTAATGTCTGTTATCAATGGGCTGTTGTCAGTGCTTTATTATCAGTGCTGCTGGAAACATCTCATTTAGAGGTTTATAAAATAACCCAAGGATGTTCTGGCACGTGCTGCTTGTGCTTCTAATAGACAGTATTTGTATTCCATTATATCAGATCCCTAGAAAAATTAATAATGCATTTTTAAGCAGATGAAAACCTTATTCAGCTTAAAGTACATATGCCTAGTTATATCTTGCTTCTGCTCTGAAGTTCCACCTTTAAAATAAATAGGTAGCAGAGGCTGCCCCTGGACAGTTGGTTGTTAGGGGAGGCGCCATTTATATACTGAGTTAACTGCAGTGTGATCGTCCTTACCCAGTAATTCATAAAATATATTCTGTTCCTGAAGTAAAAGGTCTTTTTTGTTTTAACAACATTCTTAAATTGTACTTTCTTTTTTTTTAAAAAAGGCATTGTTAGGTTTTTGTATTTCTGGAGTTTTTAAAATAATGAATAACTTTATCATCGGATTTTTTTGTTTGTTTGGTGTTTGTTTTTTTTTTTTGCCATCTATTCTGGGAGAGAGGGCTCAGGCTTTTTGTTATCTTGAATGATAGATGACTTAAGCTATTTCTGGAATGTCTTACTGGCTCATACAAAATCCCGTGCTGGGGATGTATCAGAACTGAGCAGTCAGATGTAGGACATCATCCGCACAGAATGGTGCATGGCAGTGCAAAGAACTGCTTGCAGGCTGCAACCATGCAGATACGGTTACACAGCACAGATGAAGTCCCAACACTGATCTCAAAAGCAGTATGGAAACACGGGTCAGCATTCCGACTGGAAATTTGCTCCCTCAGGTGGCATGCAGATGTTACTCTGCTTTTCTTTTTTTCTTTTTTTCTTTTCTGCTTTTCTTATCAGGAAAGGTGCATTTTCAAGGCCTTTCTGCACTGTGGTCCACTGCAATTCCTCAGTCATTTCTGCTCACAAGCACGGTTTTTAGCAGTGGACATTTTACCGAATTTCAGAGTTGGTGTCTCCTGAATTCCTGTTTGTGTTTCCTGTCTCCGTCCTGAACTCTTGTGCTCTGCACTGACAGAACTCTCAGTAGCTGTATTCAGTCTGATAGTGGACTGAAGGCCTGTCACAGAGATCTTTGAAGGACTTAAATTGAATTATATATTTTTGAGGACAGTGTAAATATGTTTTAGGAAAATATAATCGTTTGTACGCAGTTATATCATAGAGAAGTACAGAAGTAAAAGCAGCAGGGACTTGCAGTGATCGTTGTACACCTTAGGGGATTTTGCTTTGGTCTGTCTGCATCTTCTCTTTCCTTTCCCACTGCATGCGTGTCCATCTTTTGCATCTACTTTAAATTTTTCTGGAATGCCTGTCCTGGGCTCTGCTTTGTTCTCCTCATTGGTTCCCAGCTGTCTGTTGCCTTGGTTAGAGCTGCAGGGCAGTTCAGCAGATGTGTTGGACGTGTGAGCAGTGTGTGCACAAAAGGCCTGGAGCTTGGCTTGGTGGGCCTTTAATATGGCTAGGCTGCATTAGAACTTTTCTTTAATTGTGTAACGTTTCAGATCAGTTGTGTTGCTGCCACAGGTGATGTGATTCCAAAACTGACCAGACCCCTGGCTAGTTTGGTGAAGTTTTGGAGCAGAAGTATGAATTTGACAGAAACTTACATTTCTCATCGTTGAGTTGTCTTCTGGCTTTGTTACTAATGCGGTGTATGTGGATGTATTTTACAAAGACAAGGTAGCATTGTGCTGGTGGGGGGGGGAGGGGAGGAAAAAGTTTTTCTCTCTAGTTTGACCTTAAGAAGTTGTTAATTTCCCCATGATCCTTATGCCCATAGTGGTGAACCACTGCTCTACCGGCTGGATCTAAAAAGGTCTCTCAGCTTCTCTGGAGCAGACAAAGCCCCTTAGAAAGTCCATCCAGCTTTTTGTTTCATTTGACCTAAACACATTAGGTCAGTCTGTGTCCAAAGGAACCATTTCTAATTGGCCATCAGCTTACATGTCTCATTATTGTACCTTAGCAAGACGGAAACTTGAGGGGGCATGTCAAAGGTCAGTGAATCAAAGCAGTGTGTGTCAGCAGCCAACCTTAGGTCAGTCTTGCAGAGCTACAGTGTGTGCAGGTTTCTGTCTATATTTACCAAGCATTGCAAGAGCAGAGCATTGTTGCAAAGAGATTTAAGGTTTGGGGCCCACTGCGTTACAGACTGTTTCTCAACTGATTTTCAAACTCTTTTCTCCTTTTCTGATTCTTTCTGTCTGCATGCCTTTGTCTTTTTCAAAACCTGTGTTAGACACACCATCCGTACACTTGCCAAGTCTTGTAACCTAGACTGATGGGTCACTTTACTTCTGAAGATGAGGAGTAACCTCAAAAGCAAAACAAAACAAAAAAGCATCCTGCTATGCAGCAGTTTGCTTTATATAATCTCCTGCAGGCATACTCAGTATGCACAGACTCAAAGATGAGATACAAAGTTAACTAAGCTGTGAGTTTGATCTCTCCTTGCAACTTCCACAAGTAATTGTTCTATTAAAGATCATTCTGTGAAGCAGGTAAGTAGAATTACTGTTTTCATTTGCAAGAAAAACCCCACAGCAAACAGTCAACAAATGGAACAGCCCTGTTCCTGGGATTCTGTTGACTTTGTTCACAGAATGAAAATTTTGAGCTATGTTTTGTTCTCAGAATATATTTTCTAGCTTTTTCATGTTTAAGTCAGTCATTCTGTTGAATGTATTTGCGTGCAGCATTGGTATTTGAAGGGCAGGGTGGTTGTTTACAATATCTTTGATTGACAAAATGCAGTGAAATGTTTTATTATAATGAGGTTTACTTTTCCGTACTTTGTTTTCTTCTTGCAAACATACGAGTGAGTACTCAACATTACCTTCTAGTGTTCCTCTTTGTGCTTCTTACTATTAATCAGGAATGCTTTTGGCCATGCTAGTCACCTTTTCTTCCACACAGGACGTAGCTGAGAATGGATGTTCTGCAGCACCAGAGCAGTCTCTACCAAGACCAGCACCTTCTCCATTGGTTGAAAAGAAAGACACTAAATTAAGAGAGGACAGAAGACCAATCACAGTACATTTTGGTCAGGTACGTGTTGGTGTTAGGATTTTAAGTTGTGTGACACAGGAAAGAGCAAAAGTAGTTCAGAGAAAGCTCAAATATGCAGGTTGTTTTTGGGTTTTTTTTGTGACTGGGTTGTGCTGTTATACATTAATTTCTGTTATATGGGATTTTAAAAACCTGTTGTCTGTGGCTCATGCATTCCTTTTGTTCGTATGATGGTTTTAAGGAAAATAAATCCTATGTCAATTTAGGGGAAAACAAAAGTAAAATGATTGTAGCAATTTTATAAGATATTTTGCAGTTTTAGCATGCAAAGTACTACAGCCCCCAGGAGTGAGTATGTATAATTTAAAATGATCTGTTATCCAGACAGATCATTAGTGTCAATATGGAACATCCAACTATTAAAGCATTTTAGCACTCTTTGAAAATTAAAGGTGGTGAACTAAGATGAAAAAATCAATTAATAGCTTATTTGTGTGCTCTATTTCAGCATTGACAACTGAGATATGCGCATTAGTTACTCTGAAAATGTTTATTTCAATATGTTTGCAGAAGAGTGAGTGTGTTTTTAAGAGCTAATTATTTAGAAAATGTTGAATTTGCTGTGATTATCATGGAAAAACATACAATATTTACTACCAGTTTGCCAGTGTTCCCCTATTAAGTGCTGCTTGACTCAAAAATAACATTATTTTATTTCAATTATTTTCTTTCTCTGTATGTATCGTGCATGTATCTAATCATGATAAAAAAAATGGAAGTTAGTTTAGGAACCATAATGTGCCTTTAAAAAATTATAAAATGGATGATAATTATAAAATGTGAAGCAAACCAGACTTTCAGATAAGTATTTATTAATAGAAACTGCACTGCCTGGGTAGGTACTAGGCAGGAATACCTACGATACAATCATTGCTCAGAGCAGTGTTGTCGGTATCATTTGAGAATCTGATTTGTTTCTTTCAGAACTTTTTCTGGAGTACTAAATGTAATTTCTGGGGGGCTTTTTTTTTTTTTTTTTTTCCAAAAACAGATTCTCTTTCAATTAAATGTTTGCAGTAGCAATTTATTTGTCGCTTACTTTCTGTGCCAATACAGCTGAGAAGGACTGGGACTACTGGAGAGACGTAGCGATCTCAATCCATTTAACACAGCCAAAAATCCAGATAGAGATTTTATGAAAGATGGATGGTTCAGGCTTTTTAGTGATTAATGAAATGAATAATCAAATGCAAACTGTGAATTTAAATTCATGAGATTTTTGAATGGTCGCTTTCTGTGTGTCAAAAGGAAAAGCACGCAAGCTTTAGAGAACCTCTGGCTGCGGTGAACGACTCGCTTGCTGAATGCCTGCTGCTGACATTACGTTACAAACGCTGCTTTCCAAAAAATCAGCCAGCTTCACAGCTGTACGGCTGTCTCACTTACAGCCTTTGTCCTTTTGCAAGTCCTTTTTTCCCAATAGCCCAATGCCAAACTGAAAATTAAATCATGCTTTATTTCAAAAGGCAAAGATGGTCAGGTTTATGAAATACAAATTAAGGCTTTTGGGAGAAAAAAAGCAGCATTTACTGCTTAAATGGAAGATGGCTTCTAACTAGTGATTAAAGGGAGAGATTTTAGCGTCACTTTTAACTCTGTCTAGAATACTGTAGGTGGGAACAATTAAAAAGCCACAAGAACTCTGAAATAAGGGCTGTTTGTGCATTCACATTTCTTATAAACTGAAGAGGATGAAAGGGGCTTTTTTCTCATTGTGGCTTGCTTTCTATGTCTGCTAGTATTATGCTGGTATATATGGCAAAGGCAGACTTTTTTAAAATGCATGCATGCGGATTAGGGTCAAGCCCTGTGTATCAGTAATGCAGTAAGCCTCGTCCATAGCACTGCAGTGAGAGAGCCTACCAACAGCAGCGAGATGCTTTAATTGAGACATGCTGTCAAAGTGACAAACACATTTGCATACAGTCTATTTATTTTCGTTGGAAAGGTCTGCAGTCTGCTGTTGGTTGAACATTCTTAATCAGCTCGCTGTAAGTGAGCCGGCAGCTAGCTGTCCTATGCTAGGTGCTTCTCTTCATTACATGACAGATTAGCTAAAGGGGGATGGGCTAGCAAGCCAGTAGCAACCTTTAATTTTAACTCATTATCTCTCACCATATAGTGAGTTGGTTTTCAGCTTTTCTAAATACAGTTGTGTATCTGCAGTCGTTAGAGTACAAAAAATACCAGTAAAACATCTTAAATTGCCTCTGAATGTATAGCACTTCAACTGACTGTTCTCAAACATGTAGCAACCATTACCTAACTGTATGAGATTTTGGAGTGTAGTACCTCATTTTGGTGAGTGGTTATCAGACATTGTTTAAGAGGGTTGTTTATTGTTTTTAAATTAGTTTCTGTAATACTAAGACATTGTGCAAAAGCTCTCCTTGGTAATGAAAAGGATTTTAGCCAGATAGCCTGGGACCAGGACAAGTGATCTTTCTTGGTAAGGCTCCATGAGGAGACTGCAGTGGAAGAGTGCGACCGCAGCTCTTCCTCTTTGACTTCATGTGCTCTGCAGTTTACAAAGGGTGTAGCTTTAATGTGAGCCCTCTGATCAGGCAGGTGTAAGGAACTCTCAGGGACTCTGAGGCAATGCAGTTCCTCAGCAAGTAGCAAGAGCAGTACAGACCACCTAATGGGGCTTCATGAGTGGGGAGAAGGGGGAGCAGTTTTCCAATCATTGATAAGATTCCAATGAATAGTGTGTAGTACTGCGTAATACTGCCTGGTCTGGGGAAAACTGGGATTCATTTTAGTAGAAAATACCCTGCTACAGAGAACATCCTTTGTGAATGTCTTGCTATTGCTTGCCTTCTTCCTGCTTTTTGCCTTATAACGTGACCAAAACTTACCTAACACATCCAAACACACACTGCATATTCAGCCTCTGGCAGCCACCGCCTTGCTGACGTGGGGCTGTGTGGCACTGCCAGCCCACAGCCTATGGCTCAGCAGTGCTGTGGGACAGCAGCTACAGCCCCATGCACACGCTCCTGCTTCGTAGGTAGCTTACGTATTTATCTTTGTCATTTTTACCTGTGTGGAAAATAAATACTGTGTCACAGTGGCTGTTTGAAACACATTCCTTGTCCATGCAAGCAGCTATTAGTGGCTCCTGAGACAGGATCCAAAGCTTGAAACCTTGAGGTCTGCTGGAACACTGGAACTTGTTGGGTTTTGTGGGTTCTTTTCTTTTAAATATGTCCTTTTGTTTTCACCGTAATGGCTACAGAGATTTTAGTTCTCTTTATTGGTCTTCAGTTTTATCTTTTCATGTTCAAAATACCTTTTCATGATACTTTTTCAGATTGTGTCTATGTTAATGTTGCAGAGATTGTGTTTTGGCTGTAAATTTCACTTTCCTTTACTGACCTGTTACTGGTGGGAAAACTACTGTGGCGAGGATGCTGCACAGAAGCATCACACTAACAACCTTCGAGTTCTTCGCTCTGATTTTCATTTACTGATGATTGATCTGTATTGCATTTGAATGTTGTCTGATTTTAGAAGTTTGTTGTGAATGTTGTCTGGGAAGCTTTTAATATCTCTGTATGAGCATGACTTCTTATTTGCTGCCCTTATGCCACAGGGGAGAAAAAAAAAAAAAAAGAGAAAGAAAATCACGCAAGAAATGGAAGAGGTCATTTACATTTTCTTTCTGCAAGATTTAGCAATCCTGACAAGATGTTTTTGGTTTTTTTTTGTAGTTTTGGGATTTTTTAGAGGCAAAAGTCTCAAATGTCTGCTTCAAGTATTTGGCTACGGAATATTTATACACGTTACATATGTCATATCCAAAAAGAAAAGAGTCTGGGAAATGCAGGCATTTCCTTAATGATGTTGATTGTATCCCTGTTTCAAGTTTCAAGTAACCAGGCAGCTTCCAAAATTGCTTGCTGAGCTTTTAATGAGCAGAAGGCTTTCTCTGTTCTTTTTCTTATGCATTTATGTTTTGCGTTATCTAAAGGAAAAAGTAAAATAGAATGGATGATTTTGCTGAGGGAGAAAGGTAGTTCAATATCCAAATCTGATCCTTAAGAAGCCTTTTTCTTTACTGGGCCACTCATACGCCAGTAGAGCTGTGCTAAACACCTACTGTATCCGTGTGCCACAGCCATGGCAGGAAATGTTCAGTGATTTTTCAGTTTTGTGACCTACTGAGCTCACAGGATACATTGACTGGTCTGAACTACTGCAGCTGTGTGTCCTGGTGTGTGCAGGTATGGCTCCACTGGAACTTGTCGCATTATGCAGTCTGAGATGGTCCAACAGAGCACTTGTGTTTGGTGGTTGCAACTCTCTTTTTGGGGAGTGAAAGGAGCACTTTATTTTCCAAAAACATGCGTTTTACACGTCCTTCTTCTAATGAAGCTTTTGCTAACCATACTGCATCCTTTCCCTTCCACCCCTAATCAAATGCTCCAATGAAATGCTGCATGACTGTTCCTACAAGAACCTCTTTATTTGTGGTAGGTCATTGCCTGAGCCTGGTATTCTCATCAATCTTTGAGAAATGGTGTAGATAAACATAAAAGGGGGTGAGCCTAGCTTCTTTAACAATAAACCTAAACTTCTGTACAGATTTTTACATGGCCAGAAGTCCAGCTGGTCAGGTACAACCAAAGCAGCAAATGACAACAAGCTGCTAAAACCATTCTTTGTTGGGGAAGAATGTTGTTTCGTTAGATTCAAGTTTACTGGCAGATCTGCTCAGCTCTCTAATTGTTTCTTGTACAGTTAAGATGTCTTTTGTCAAATTAAGTTTGCGTTTTGGTTTCTATGGCTTATTATTATTTACTGGCAAATGGAATATTTTATTTTATTTATGGGCAAGAATGTAAGGCTAAATAAAATTTAAAAGTGCCTTATAAATACATCCCAAGAGATTCATTCATAATCCATTGCATACTCAGGAGAATTAGTATTTCAGGGATTGATGTTAACAATGAAACAAATAGAAGAATGCTCATGTACTCGTGGTAAAGCAGCATATCAGACTGTGGAAAAACTCATCCAAAACTTTAAACTTTCTTGGGCATGGAATTGAAATAGTCACCTTATTTGCTGTTTTGTTCATTTGCTGTAAAGGAACTACACATAAATCTTCTTTTTTTCCATTCATGATCTGCACCTAGACGTGCAAAATGAAGAACTCTGCTTTGTAGGGCAGGTTTCTTCTTCAAGAAGATTAAAGAGCATTAAGAGGTCAGGGGGAGGATGGGGAGAAAACCAGCCAGCTACATTCCAGAAATGCAAAACTGGATCAGTGAGGGCAGAGGCAAGCAGAAGGGAGGATTAACTCCAGTGTAAAAGCGAGCAAGTAAGGATGGAAGGAAGGCTGCTTTGCCAGACCCTGTGACTCCCTTCACACCCAAGTGCATTGGAACAATAGCAGATTTCCCCAGATCACAGCAAGCATTGTGTAGCACTGAGGTAGAAACCAAAGGGGAAAGGGGAAAACAAGTTCATTTTCTAATATTTATGCAACTGTATGCTGTGACTGCAAAGCCAGCCTCCTCTTCTCCTTGCCCCTCTGAACTATTCTGACAATAGAGGTACCTTCGTTAATAAAATGAGCTCCCATTCCTCCCTTCCCCACTGATGAGCATTATGCTTTCTCTGTTCCTTTCTGCTGAACCATGTAGAGTTTCCTCTCTCTCTCCATTTGATCCTCTATGTATTTATTAAAAGTATAAGCTTTTTTCTTTAAAATTCTTCCGTCTCCAGAAACCATATTTTCTATCCTCGTTTCTTCTCACTTCTTTCTTTGACTGTTCCTTTTAGAAAGGAGTTCACTGTAGCTCAGTAGAAGTCACTTTGCTAGAAATGAAACTGTGTTGTCCGTCCAATGTCTGTTTAAGACAACTCAGATGTCTGATTGCGTTCTTAGATTACTGTATTTGTAGACAGGGGAACAAAAACAACGCCCATTGACAAGAAGGTAATTCCTTTGATTAAATTCTGCTGTGTGGTGTGCAAGATTTTCGAAGATGACAATCCATGGGGAACGAATTATCTAACTAAAAGGCTTGCACTCTTGTCATGCATGTAAGTATTTGACAAGTGAGACCTGGCTCTCACTTTAGGAAGATATATACACCGCCTGCCGTGCATACCCAAAAGTTACTGCCTCTAAGGTACACACTTGCCAGTATTTTGTAACGAGCAACCGGGCAGGTGTGTCTTCAGCAGCCACTCCAACATAGCATGCATGTAGCTTATACCATGTAGGAATGCCTAATTTGCTGTAGGATTTTGTGACTCTACTCCGGCATCCAGCAGAACTGTTCATCCACAAAGCATATTCTGGGCTATGGCTTTTAGTATTTGCCAACTGTCCTGGCTTTTCAAGCACTTCTTAAACAAGGATGATCAGAATAAATTTACTGCCCTGAGTACATTCAAGTTATATGCCATAATGGTTGGATGTATGGAGAAAATATACTGTGGTTGAGCTGACCTCCTTAGTGCTCTGTGACAAGCAGTAGCAGCTGTAACGTGTCTGTGCAGAATTCCCTTGTTAGTCTTGTTGTGTCAAGGAACCCATAAATATCTTGGAGAAGTTTCTTGGTCCGTCACTGCTGGCATGTGGAAACAAAATTGTGCTTTATAAATAATACATACATATAAAATAAATACGTCAGTGCATGCAAGGCTAACCAAATCATCTAGATTGACAACTTTAGAAAAAGCTCAGAGGCCTTATGGGTGACTTGCATAGTGTATCAGTGTTGAGCAGCATCCAGAAGTTTCTTATGTACTTCTTATGAAGTGGATAGGCCAGAACTGCCTGAATTGACCTCTAAATCACTTGATTAAACTAAAATATTGAAAGGAGAGAATATGTGGAACATGTGATTCTTCCAGCTGCTAACTCCTCTGTGATTGCTTGTTTGGCCAAGCATCCTTTGGATTTGCCCTTCAGAGCTGAGTAAAATGGTTGAACAATGCCATGCTGCAGATACAGGAGCCATGTACTTTTGCATGTTTACATGGAAGAATGATGATTCGCCGTGATTATGCAATGTCCTGAGTGAATGATGAAATTGAACCCAGCAGATAGTCATTGCTGTTAGGAGGTTCCTTAAATAAGAGACCCTCTCTCTCTCTTTTTTTTAATACAAGTATTCTACTTACTAGAGAGCAGCAGTTGTTAATAGATAATAAGGGCTATACACGTTTTCCAACACTTTAAATCATGTCATTTGAGCAGTTTACTTGGTTTGAATCCCGGTATCAGGCCCCCAGAAAGCCCAGTGTAGAACTGACAAAAAGACCGGTTGAAAAAGAAAACAGATGAAAAGTGTGACTTTTTTTTTCTTTATATTTAAAATCACATTGCTGTATTTTCCAGTATTTTAAATGAAAAATATATGTAGTTAGTTCCATGTTGACAATGTCCTTGAGGATTTGACAGTGAGATTTTCCAGCGGTTGCTCTTCGTTAGAATCCTGGTGGAGTTTAATAAGGCAGCCGAACTGCTGGCACCTCCAGTTCTTGTTTGTTCTCCGAGGGCTCGGGGCTGCTGCAGTAAGCACATCGACCAGGGCTGATCATTACAAGGGCGTACGCCACCATGAATAAAAATGTCACACGTTTTCCCATCTCACAGCAGTACAAAATGTCAGTCCTGTCAAACAGACATTGCAGGTAGCAGCGAGAGTCAGTACAAATTGGGAAGCCGAATATTCCCCAGCTTTCTGATATTCTTCATTTGAAGCGGAAGAAAAACAGTTGTTAACCTATTAGCTGTGATTTTAAACTCTGCTGAGATAGTAGATGGATAGACTTTAATACACAGGGATAAATGTATTCCTAGGGCCTGGGATTTTTTTTGCAGTGTGTGCCTCCATCGACGTATGTTGAGAAATAGAATGAAAAGAAGCCATTGCAAATCACACTTAATTTTGGGACAAGTACTTTGGAAATTTGAAAGTCTGCTCAGTGAGATACTCTCTGTCTCAGAACCCTTCCCTATTTTATCTCTGTGAATAGTTCTGAAAAAGCTCCTTGCTGTTTTACTGGCAATCCGGAATGGGTGCAGTGCTGTTCATTATGTTTGGGGAGTTTGCTTTTTGGTCCTCTCATCATTCCATAGTATAACTAGAGGTTGGGATTTCTGCACAAATGAAAGTTACGCTGCTTTCAGGCTGAGGTGTGTTGTGTGATGTGGAGTCCATGGGGTTTGCTGTTTTCTGGGTGTTAATTTGGGTGTGACTTAAGATGCCTGGTAGAAGGTTCTTTGTTCTCCTTTCTTGGGGGAAACCATGAGCTTATAGGCTCCTTTCGCTTCCTTCTTTGATTGTATGCTTTTATATTATGTAATGGAAGATTCCTGCCTAGAAAGGTAAGGGGATCCTCCTTGTTTTCTCATTAGACTAATCAAAGGGTTTAGTTGTGACAGATTCTCTTCCCTTCCATAAGTTCTTGGCATTGAACTTGAACATTGAACATATATATAGGCATTGCCATGGTTTTTTGCCAGATTTGTGCTACCTTCCCAAGCTACAAATACAGTTCAAAGAATGAGACATCTCCTAAGACATGGAGGGGTTTTTTTTAACCACAGGACCCAGCAGATTTCTGTTTGAAGTATTTTAGAGTGTAAATCAAAAATATATGTTGTAAAGCATACACTGTTCTTGTCATACCAGTTTGTGAGCTGTGCATATGGGAGTATGTAAAAAGTAGTGTATGTGCTGTGCAGGATCTGAATGGGTAATAAAACAGCTGCTTCATAGATTCCATCTGCTTTCTGTACTGAATCTTTTTAGGCACCGTACATTTTCAGTGTTGTTATTGTATCTCCCTGCCCCCTTCCCCCCCCTTTTTTTTTTCTCCAGTGAATGTTGAGTTGAGGTTCAGCATATTTTTCCAAAGTCAGTGATCCAAATCCTTTGCAGCATGATGTATTTGAGCTTGGGAACATTCAGGACAGTGCATCTTTATCTCATGTCTCATTGTCTTTAAGACATACGAGCAGTTTGTAAATCAGCCCTGAATTTCTGAAGAAATTAAGTTGTCTGTGTAGAAAAGCTTTGCTTTGGAAATGGTTGGAAACACGCCTCACTACTAACTTGAGAATGAGAAACACTTCCTTCTGTATGAGCTGACATACCAGCTTTCGTCTAGTTGGGTTTCCTTTATGCCTTTATTACCAGTTGCACTTGTTGCTGCATGTGACATAGCACCTCTAATTTACTGATAAAGGCTCTGTTTTGAATGCCACCATCTCAACCGAACCCTCACTTCACAGTACAGAAATGATCTTTTTGTAATGTTTTCTCTAGTATAAAAAAAACTAAATTGCTGTATTGTGAAAGTTTCTTGGATATATAATAGCTACTTTATGATCTGTGGTATGTATACTTTTTAAATAGTATTTTTACAGTGTAAAAGTGAATGTAAGATTTTTTTCTTCCTCCAGCATCTCACAGTTTAAAATTGCTTGTCTTGTAATTAGAAAACAGTGCCATATCTGCAGTCGTAAAATTGGCTTCCTGCAAATTTTCTTTGTCTTGTTGCTTCAGAAGTATTTAGAGTAAAACAATTAAGAAAAATATCTAGAGTAAAAAAGTATGCTGGTAAACAGCTACTGATAAGAAAGTGCTAATTTAGACATTTCTCCTCTTTGAAGAAAAAAACCACTATAGTATACATATTTAGGGACATACCTAGGATAGCAATTTAGCAGCTTTTAGCAATGTAGCTCTGGGCTGTTTCATCCTCACAGTGCAGGTAATTAAGTTGATAATCCAACACAGCTTCCCCTACTGACCTTTCAGAATCGGAGTGTTTTGCTGCATTAACAAATTAACTTCTAATCAGTGGCTTTTCCAGTAAATATGGTCTTCATATAATTCAAATATACTTGCTTGTCCCATTTTGGTGACACATATTTACATCAACATTAACAGTGGAGCTCTGGCAAAGGACAAATAACTGTTACGTCTTGGTGGGCCTCCATCTCAGCGACTCCTCCCTGCCCTTTGCCTATGCTCTTTTCAGTGCTTCAGACCACTGGTTGTTTAAGCTGTGCTGTCTCCCTGTCCCTCTGTTATTGAAAGAACACACTGCTCTTGGTGTGGAGATTTGTCTTATTGTTCTTCTCGGAACTCTGTAATGTTTCAAAAATTAGTACGTACTGTGATAAGTGCAAGACGTGGTGCAGTGGCTGTACTGTGGCCAGTGAGGTTCATGCAAGGTGAAGGTATTGCTAACTGCAAACTTTTCCCAGTACTCCACCATGACGACTTGCAGCATGCTGGCTCTTGAACAGAATTGTCACTTTCTGATCTTTACTCTCTTTACTGTCTAACAACTTATGTAGTAGGTAATTAAGGAACCCTCTCACACGCTTCCTCGGGGGGGGGGGGGGGGGGGGAGCGGTAAGCAAAATTCAGCTATACGTGTCCCTGCAGTGCCTATAATCAATGCATTGGCTGTCTCTCTACAAGGCAGTTCTCATCACTGCATTGTCTGTCTGTCCTTTTGTGCCTTTGTCACACTTCTTTTCACAAACTTTAATAATGTGTTTAAAAAACCACATTATTAAAGCAGTTTAAAAAACACTGCTTTATCAGTTAATACTGTTGATGCTGCAGTCTTGCAGTGCCTCCTGAAAAGTTACCCTATTTTTTGCCATGGAGGGAGAAACCGATCAGATTTGTTCAGTGATATGAACTAATACTGAAGAAATAATATCAACTTTTTGGTACAATATGAAGTGATGACTTTCAATTCTTACATCAATCAAAACATTTTTGTCCAGAATTTTAAAGGTCATGGGAAATAAGTGGTGCTCAGGACACTGCTAGCTGGGAGGTTACTTGAAAATCCCACCTAAGAGAATTCTGTGATGCAGAAATGTTCATAATTTTCAGGTAACTAAAGTGAAAAAAAGCAAACTGAAGCATACATAGAGAAGGCATTAGGGAGAAAAAAAGAAAAAGAAAGAAAGAATAATAGCATATTGTTTTCCTGCTTCATCAAATAGTTTGTCTAAGTAGCTCTGTCATAAGTGGGTGCCTTTAACATCGCTAGAAAAGTGCAAATTTCAAATTTTTTCAATTGTTTCATTATGATTCTGAAACAGAATGGAAAATAAGTATGGTATCTCACATAACAAGAGTTAAATATACTTCAAGATTATGCTCTCAGCCTGAGCAGGTAAAGTGGGGAAATACTCAGTGCTACAACTCAGCGTCTGTGATGGAATTGCATAATAAGAGATGCGGAAGAAAAACTAGGCAGAAGGGCTAACAGTAAGCACCTCAGCTCAGCAGCAGGTTGTTTCTCTCCATTTTCCTTTGATTTGGTGCTTACTTTCTTGGAATATATAGTTGGAAGCTATCACATGGAAAGATTTTGGCCTCAGCTCTCCATGACAAGTGCCGTTTTTTCCCCGCCCACCTCAAAAATCTGAGCTGAGTGAATGTGTACAATCTGGCACATGAGTAAGGCTGAATAAACCCATTGGTGCAAATTGTAAGTTAATGGGAAAGCGTGATGAGATGCAAGAAGAGCATGAAAATCGTCTGAAAAAGAGTAGGCTGTGACACAGCACGAGGGTAGCAGAATGAGAATGTGTGTCACTCTGGAATAAAGACTATGCTAATAAGAAGTTAAAAACTGCTGAAATATGAATCTGGAATCTTTTTTTGAGAGAAATTCAGTAATTTGTGTAAGCTTTCTTTTTCTGTCTGAAGAACCCAACTCCTGCTGCCAGTTGCTGTTCCCTCTGTTGGGTTGACAGGCTTTTGTCCGCAGGATGCACTGCCAGGTGCTGCGGGCAGCAGCACGGCCTGTTGTCTGCTGGAGCAGGCATTTGAAGGAGTTCCTGCCACTCCTCACTGCAGGCTCTACTTTTCACTTTCAGTACTAATATGTGTATTGAAGATACTGCAGAAAAGGCATTAACTTTGATTTTGTTCTCAATATCAAAGTTGTACTTTAGGATGATTTTATTTAGAATCTCATTAATTATCAGTGGGCTCCTTGTCTAACAGAGCATACCTTAAGATACCATCTGTGTGAGGAGACTCATGCTGCTGGCTCAGTCAAAAGCAGCTCAATTGGAATAGCTCCAACACAGTTACAAAGCAGTAAGTTGGCCAACTGCTAATTTTAAAAGCGAGAGACCAAAATAAGCACCACTGCTCCTGCCTTCACTAGAACTGTTGGTGATGCAGGGATTTGCTTTCTTTACTATAACAGTGCACTCTTTTGCTGTAGGCAATTCATTTAAACCTCGGTCCACTACAGTACGTAACCATGTGTTCATCTGTGTATGAGAGGTTTAATTGACCTACAGTGTTCCCTCATGCTTTTAAATGTCTTTGCTGGTTTGAGGCCTGTAGAGTGTAAGCACTAAAATCTCTCTTGGGATTTTAATGTGAGCTATTTTGAAAATCCTGCTTTGCAGCATTCTTTTCATTTGTCCGTGGAACACGTGGACCTGTAGCTTAGAATCCTTCTTAAGCATCTGTGTTGTCTCAGGTGAATTTTGGATGATCTGGCATGGAGTGTTGATTGTACTACCTTTAGTTTAGCACAACCGATGTCAGTATCTATAGCTTCCTTTTCTGATGTGGCACTTTGAAGGTCAGGAGACATCTCTGTTTTGAAAATGATTGCATGTTGTACAGTGAGTATGAAGTTAGATAAATCATGTCATCCACTCCAACTGCTTTTGCCACAAAATAAGAGGTGTTTTCATGTAGTGACTATTTAATTTACCTATGACTTAAGTTTCCACTTTGATACAGCAGCAAAGACTCCGTCCGCCTCGGCCACCGCCTCCAAAGATACAGCGTTCAACTAGGCCCGTGAGTAGCTGGGAGTTTTGTTTCACTGCCACAGCTTAACACTGCCTGAATTGCTCTACTAGTAGTATTACTAAACCTTGGTAGTTTGGGTTGTCAAACAAGCAATGTGTGAATTATGCACCTAAACTCCCTTCTTCTCTGCTGCGGCACAGCCCTGGGATCTGCATTTATTCTGCTTTTCTTTGACGAGTTCTGCAGCTTTCAGTCAGTTCTGCAGGTAACTGATGCTGCTATTGCAATATTTGTTTTACTTTTGTGGTGATTTCTTGAACAAAAGGTCTTGCTAGGCTGGGATAAGTTTTTAGCCAGTGAGTTTTTGAAGACTTGCACTAAACTAAAATACAAAAGGAAGCAGAAGTCTGAAGAGATTCAACAAGTTCTGCTTTAAATTAATTTGAGACACTTTATTTTTCACCATGGAATAGATGAATGAATATATATAAAAAAGCAAAGTCTCTATTTGGACAGTGGAATATTAATACCATATTATGGATGATATACATCCATACTTCATGTTCATGTAACATTACCTGGAATGAAAAACGTTGGCCTAAGAAATGAGTCTTCTTCAGAAGAACTGCACAGAAATTGCTCTCAGTGTAACTCCTGTGTTAGGATGGGATACCTTATCTAAGCATTTTTCATTCAAAGCTCTACTGCAGTCTGATTATTAAATGTAAACTATACCAGATGCCTCTGAGGATGGAGACTGTACTGGGTCTGTTTCAGTGACTTCTTCATACAGGAAAGTGACATCAGTTTAGAGGGGTGTTGTTTTTGCAGCAGTCTTGAAAGATATTTGTTTCTATTCAAGCCTTCTGCTTTATGAATATAATTTCACCAATAAACAGAAAGACCTTACTCCTTGCTTCCTTAACAGGAAGGTGTGTAAGAAAAACAGATGCAAGTTTTCAAATCTAATCTTGCTAAAACTTGTTACAAATGTGCAGTTTTGGATGAGCAGGCAACTGGTTAACAAGTGCACCTGGGTGTGTGTGAACTTTTGATCTTTGATGCATGTTCCTATGTTACATTTCAGTAGCATGTTTTTCTTTTCCCCTCTCTTTTAACTCTGGGTGTTCAGCTTAACAGTCACTGTTATGGATTTGTGCACTGAAGATTTCTGTTTTCTGTGTTTAAAAGGTAGCATTGACTGTGCTTGTGTGTGTTCTCTGGAACATAACTTGTACAGCAGGCCCTCCTGGATTCATTACACTGGGAACAAACTTTCCGTGGTACAAAGGGGTTCCCATACTGCTTCTTGGTCCTCTTGCTTTGTGCTTGGCAGGGGAAGCCCCATGAGGGCTCTCTGCAGTTTCTCTGTACTGAGGTTGCTGAGCAATATTGTTCAGATTGAGTAATTTATTACATGAAAGTCTTGCTAAGACTGTTTAATCTTATTGTAGTGTGTTAATAGTCCTCGCTATGATGTGTTCGTGTCAACTATCTTTGCTCCCAATGTGATTGATAAAAGGTTGGAAATGTAATAAAAGCTCCTGTTGCATTCATCTTGCTGTGTCAGTAAGTGGAACAGAAATTCGTCAGTTGTCAAGAGGAAATTCAGGATAAATGTAAATTATTATAATAGCTCCCAAAACTATGCTTCTACCAAATGTATGTAAATTTGTTGTTGTTCTGAACTGTTATTTGGCTTTTAATAGATGAAACACATTTTTTGTGTGTAAATATTCTTTTGTGCAGGCTGATTTTTCCCTCTTAGAATTTTGGCATATATTGCAGAGGTGGGTATCAGCAAGTAATTCATCCTGACCTTTTACAGGAAGGCCTGAATGAGAGGCCAGCTCTCTCTGCTCCTCCGACCAAGTCAACATAATGGCAGAATTGCTGAGAAGTTGTTTTCAGGCTGTATCTGTTACAAGAAGGAATTTGTGGGAATTAGTCCTTGCAGTGTGAGTCATTACTAATAGTGAGAACAAAAACACAAACCAAAGAAGGTTAAAGAAGCAGAACAGATATGTTCTTTACATTCTGTTGTTTTGGAAATGAATTGTAGTGATGTTGTGAGAGGGTGATTGTAATTAATAGAGATCTGTTAGAATTAATAGGAGCTGATTGGAAACTTCTTTCAATTAGCAAAAGTTGTAATATGATAATTATTCATAAAGTTGATAGGGACAGTAATAAGCACATTTAATCCTGTGCTGAATATTTACCTTTATTCTCTAGTCCCTGTGCTCATGTAATTGGATTTCTTTCCTACCTTTGCATTTGATATGCATTTAACCCTGCCTATTTGGCTAAAAATCCAGAGAGGAATTGGCTCGATTCCTGATTTTTCCTAGCAGTCCCTCATGAACAATACTCTAAATCCTACTTAGCATGTCACCCTATGCTTTACTGGTCTGGTGACCCCCTGGAGCCATCCAAAATTCTCATCTCTTTTGCTCATCACAATTGCTCCCCCAGGAAAAAAGGTGAAAGTGTTCACAGCATGATGACAAGCCAGTGTTACACACCATATTTCAGCTTAAATTTAATTAAACAAGTTTCTTTCTTCCTCTTTTTTTCTCCTTCTTGTTCTCCCCCCCCATCCAGTTCGTCTTGCTTCTCTCCCCCCCACCCTTGCACACTCTTTCTCTTGCTCACTCTCTCTGTTTTATCAGCCCTAATGAAGCAGTATTCCTCATCGATCCTGCTGATTGCCAGCCCATTCCTTTTGTTTGTTGGCACCGAGCCATTCAGCCGCACTCTGACAGCTCAGCTCGTCTAATTAGCTCTGTTGTTCTTTTCCCCATGTTTCACCACGTTGCAAGTTCAGTTGAAGTTGCCACAAACTTAATCCTTCCATAAATTCACGTTCTTAAGCTGTCTTTATTGAAGAGAGGAAAGGCCTTGTGTGGGGACAGATCTTCAAGACCTTAACACCTGACCTTTGTATAAACTCTTTTTCCTGAGAAACTGTGGCAATACATCTCTGGGTTTCTTCATCATATCTGCTCTACACCTTTTCCTTTGAAATGAAAATTCAATACAATGATCTTGCTGTTGAGTTCTGCATGCCATTGTGCATCGTAGAAACAGTGCTCACAGCTTAGCAGCTTTTTCCTGTCAAGAGAACCTGAACTAAATGTTCTTAAAAGCATTTAAAAAAAAACCAAACAAACAACAAAACCCAACCGAGCAAACGAAAACAAACAAAACCAAAAAGCTCAGAGATGGGGGCACAACCAGTGCTGCCATTGCAAACAAGTTCATCAGTCATCTGAAGTGTACTTGGATTGTAGGCCTGTAACACCTTTTATATTTGGCTGTTAAAGAGGTCACAGGCCTAAGAGGGCAGAAGTTGAGTTGTGTTCCTTACCTTGTTGAGGGCTTTGGAGATTCCTGTTGGTTAACATTCAGCAGAACCAGCAAGTCAGACTGCATTCCAGGTTGGGTGCTTCTTTAAAGGAAAAAAAAAAAAGAAAGCAAAAAAGTGGACAGTTGGCTGTACACCCTTGTCCTGCAATTTTTCATTCCTGCATTTGGCTCAGAGGAATAAATTCACCAACAGGGTTACTCATTAGTATAGGTAGGCACGTGTGTAAATTTTGCCCATTTAGTGATCAGCTGTGCTTATTCCTTTCCTTGAAGTTTAGCTTGTTTGCTTATGGAGTTCACGTGGGTAAATTCAATTGATTTCTGAACATCAGAAGATAATGGAGATGTTATGTGCAATTCAGCTGGCAGCAACGTCACCTTCCACAGAAAACCTTTGAGTGTTATTGCAGACAACAAAAGATCACTAATATAACCTCAGTGATGTCAGTGATAATGTGTCTGTGAAGGTGTTCTGATCAGCTACTGGAAAGAACCATATTTGTGAAGAAAAATAGTATTTTTTCATTTACAATATTTACTCTTAAGTACAGTTTTTTTTCAGTGCTCTCTTTTACAGAATTATTCACTTGAGGAGCTGGCTTCCTATGAACAGGCGCACAAAAGGATTAGGATGTCAGAACTGAACAACAATATCCATATAGTGTGCAATGCAGGCCTTTCCAGTTTCACTCTGTCAACTCACTCTTTTAGATGAAGCTTACATTTAGAAAACCTGTTTATCAGAAAATTACCCTGTTCTAAACAGCACAGTTGAGCAAATTTTCACTGACTGGCTAATGGTCAGTAGCAAGCATATAATGTCGTTTGCAACTCAAAACGTGGGTTTTTGTCCTTTAGCAAATTGTGGGACTGCATAGTTTGCATCCAAACCAATGGATTTGTAACATTGTTGAAGCATAAAAGTTAAAACTGACTGTGAGTGTAAAATACCCTTAAGACCATGGTAATTATGCATATGTTGCCATGTATATCTGTTGCATGACCAGCTCTTGAAGTATCTGATGAAGTGTGTCTGTGTATGTGTATGCAATAGGTTCGTCCTCCAAGACCTCATGTTGTTAAGAGACCCAAGAGCAACATTGCTGTGGAAGGACGAAGGACTTCCATTTCCAGTCCGGAACAGTAAGTACTTTGCAGCTCTACTGCTCTGCTTCTCTCCAGTTGCGTTAATGTTAGCAGACTGTATATTCAAAATTTAAAAAGAGAAAAAAAGAACTACAAATCCTCATTGATCTACAGCTCAGAGTTCAACATTTTTAGAGCAATTTAGAGGAGCAGTGAGAAAGCATGCACTGGTGCTTTCCAGATATCCAGCATGGTGACAGTACACTCTTGGTGCAGGAAATCACACTGGACCTTGACTCAGGGTGACAGGACAGTTGCACTGATCTGAACTGTTCCTCGTCAGTCATCTCCTCACTGCAGCACAAATTGCATATCTCATAGCCACTTGGAATTACCTGCTTACGTTCCAGTCTGTGGTGGCCTTATTCTAAGTAAAGTGAAATGCTTTAGCTGATGCCCAAGATTCTAGGGTATTTGTTGTATCTGAAGAGAAGAAAATCCCATAAAAAGAAAAGTGGTTTGTTTCTTTAAGACTCCTTTTCCCAGATGGGTACCACTGCTAGCGCTGCTGTTCGTAAGGAAAGAGAGTCGGAGGTTGGGTGTTTTCCCCTTTCCAAATTATATGCTTGGAGCTTCATTTCCCAGTCATTTTAGAATGGAGTGGAATTCTGACTTTTGGCTAGAAATGAATGGTAACTTTAAATTCTACAGCTTCATTTATTCATTTTATAGTGGAATTTGGTTGCCCTCTTGTGGAGTAGATTGCAAATCCTGTCAAAGGGGGATACGGGGAGGTGGCTGTCTGTACAAAAATTATTGGAATTTTTATAAAGTTTTTTCCTTAATATTTAATATGACTCACTGCATGGTTGATGTACCAGGTGGAAGATAATGGAGTCAATTTAATCACTGTGTATGTTTCTCATGAACTACTATGCGTGTTTTGATTCAGAAGCTGCTCAATGATATTCCATTGTGGCTTCCTGATAACATTTATTTTCAGCTCCTGCAGTGTCTGATTGAAAATAAAGAAGCATGAATGACAGGCATAATATTTACGCTAATGCTAGTGATATGTTAAATTACAAATATTATTTTTCTTGATTTTAATTGATAGCTGTTAATTTTAGTGAGTCTGTACATTTCAGCTGCTTTCACACATTTTATATATATTTTTGGATGGAGATTATTGGTGGTAATCTACCAAAGATAATGATGGTTCTCTGTAGATATAAAGCTGATGTATTTTTCTCTATGATCATTTTAGTACTGAGAGATTTTTCCATCTTAGCGATGTGAAAGAAAACCAAGTAATGTTCCTAGAACCTCTGGCACTTGCTGTGCAGTACCAGGACTTGGACTTTTCCTTGCCTGCCCCAGCCTCAATATTTTCTAGTTCAAATTCAGTGGCTCAGCAGCTACTGATGTGTTTTCATCCTTTCCTTTCATCAGCTTCAGGTGGCAAAACAAATGTGTACAGAACTCCTTCCAGACAGTTAATTGTAGAATATTACAGCCAACCAGATATCCTGTAATGTGCGTGGTTAGTTTTAATACAAACAAGTTAGAAAGGCAGGAGGACAAGAACTATGATTTGGGATGTACAAGTGGGGGAAATGTAACTTTCAGGGCACTGACAGATACGGATCTTCAGCGCAGAAGGAAATAGATGAGACTTGGAATTTCTGCAGTTGGCGAAACCACAAGCGAGCCTGAATTTGTTGTGATGGCAGAAATATCTGCAAGATCATGCAGGTGGCTCGCAGTGCCTTGGAGACAGGGAAAGGAGCACTGATCGACTTCTTCCTGGCTATTTACCTCAAAATGGTATTTTGAATAAACAAAAGGTAATTTTTAAAAAGTAATTAAATATTTATAATGACATTTTCCACAAACATTTTTTCTATCCCTTTACAAAATAATTTTCATTTATTGTTCTAAACTAAAAATATAACACTAGTTCTATCCTTAAAGAACATGCATTATTTTTCTCCCTCTTGGATCAGACTGTAATGAATGAAAACACTACAATTTCTATTTTTGCTGTTGTAACTTGGTAGCATTCAAGTGCTCATACTGTAGATCAGAGGAGATTCCTTGAAAGCCGCAGCAGCACTGAGAGTGCTTTTTCTTGACCTGAACTTAACCAAAATATTTAGCTTAATTGCACTGGTTCCAAAGCTAATTATTAGCCAGTTATGATCAGGAGCTCGTATGGAGGCTCTGCTTGTAAAGAGAAGCATCTGCTCCAGAGAAATTTCTTTTTTATAAACTAGCTTTACATTTTTGTCTTGAACTGATTGATGATTGAAAGCTTCAGAGCCGTTTCCCAGGCTGTGGTCCCCACTCAGACTTGGGCTTGCATCCTGCTCCTGGCTGCTGGGACGGCGTCCCGGCGCTGTGGCACAGATCACAAGCAAGTTGGTTTCAGTGCAGCTTCCTTTCCTTCCAGGACGGTGCCTGTTATTTCTGAACAGTCAGCCAGCACGTAGATGTCCTTTCAGCTGTTAGATTTATTAATGCATTTCTTACAATATTAAGAATTTTGTATCTTGAGTTATAGGAGTCAGGTTTTTAAATCTGTGCAAAAGAATATTATTGTAAGAATGCATGTGCTCATTTTCTAACCAGTCTTCCATTAAAACTCAGGAGGGTGGGAGTCTTGTTAAACCTTCATATTTAGAGGAGCTGGTGGAAGAGTTGTTTTTTTTCCCATTACAATTTTCAGTGAGTTTCTTTCCATTTCAATAGAAACGTGGCGTTTTTGTTTTGTTTTGCAATCAGATAAAAAAAGCAAGGCTTGTGATGTACAAAGATTCTTCCAAATTGCCATTAAATCTAAAATGTATTGTTTAAAAAATTATTATTAAGCAGGAAGAACCTGAGAGCTCAGAAAACATAGGGTTGCCCTTTGAGGCAATACTAAACGTGTGGACACATCTCCTTAAGCACAAATTGGGTGTTCACAGAAACAAGGTGTTGCGTTTTTTTACAGATAAGCAGTTTTTCAAGAGCTCTCTTTTACACCACAGCAAGATTACCCATTAAGTTTAGAATAGGCTTCCAGAGAGCTCTAGGATCTGTTCTCTAAGTACTGGCTTACTGAGGAGCTGGCATCTAGGGCATGCAGAGTGGGAGGAAATTAAAATAGGAAATCAGAGGGTCAGGCTCACAATTAACAGCATGTCAAAAGGGTCTTGGGCTGGCTAAACCCGTGTCAGTGCTGCAGCAGTTCATTATGACTTTCCAGAACTCCTGTAGGACTTAGAGAAGCTAATGGTTTTCTCTTATATGGTATGAATGAAATCAGACTGCAGTGCAATAGTAGGTTATTACACTGAATTTAGCGTGAAGTCAGCATGACGGCTGTGTTAAATGATACAGGCTCATAAAGCCCATTAACTTCCAGTTGATGTAACCAGGCTCTCGAAGCTCTGCCACACAAAATTTGTGTACTGTAAAGCTTTTTAAGGCATCACTTCAAGCAAGGGTCTCTGCTTAGGAAAAAGCTAAACCCGCAAGTAGTCATTTGAGCAAGGTTGGCTGGAATCCAAAGGACAGTCCTGTAGACTATAGCAGATAGATTGGTTGCATGGCTTTGATTCTTCTGCCACAAGAAAATTGATTTATAAAAAGCTACATTCAATAAAGGTGGTGCCAAGAACGCAGATGGCCCAGCAAAAGGACAGCAAGTGGGGAAGATGCACACTGAGAGCAGCCGTGCTCTTTGTACGTGGCCAAGCAAAAACCTTTGGGAGCCTTCCCAGATTCCTTCCTGTCTCTCCCACTTTTCCTGTAGGATATTTTGCAGGAAACAGTTCTGGTGCTTATTTCTGCCATCTACCTACCAAATGTGTGCAGCTTGCCTTTGTAAAGAGAGACGGCTATGATATCTGTAGGGGAAATTGGTGAACGCGTACTTATTATTGAGAAATAGGATGAAAATGTGAGATGGCTTTGTAGAATCTTGCATCTAGATCTGTCAGAGCAGGCAGAGGTGTCATCCAGCTTGTTCCCACTTTAAATCCTTTGTTCCTTTTTTTAACTTTGTAGAAATTGCATAGAAAGTTGAGTCAAACTCTGAGGCAGTTACCTGCCCTGACTGCTCCCTGTGATCACACAGTGATTTCTGTTATCTGATTGGTTTACTCATAATTTTTTAATACTTAAAAATATGCTTTATGCTAATATTTTAATTTTTCTTGGACTGTTCTGCTTCTGTGAAGATTCACAGTATGCAAAGTGTCACTTTAAAAAATAAAATACTTTACTGTTCCTGTTAGCTCACACTCAGGTGTGCTGAATATGCAGGAAGGAATTCCAGGGACAGGTCTGTGCTTTGTTCGTAGTGAAGAGTTATGGGGCAATCCCCTCAGTCCCAAATCTCTTATTTCATACTGGCAAGAAAAAAACCAATGCATCCAAAACCCTCATTCTTTTCATTTTACTGTCTAAGAGGGACAAATTCCTTAATTCCCTGGAGTAGTGGCACAGGTATTCTTTAAAATATAAAGAATAAATCCTTCCTCAAATTTGGGAAGCCCTTTTCAGGGGAACAATGGCATCAAGACCGACATTACTCCATCGTATCATCATCTCTGTAATCAGGAAAAAGCAAACAGTTGATAAAATACACAAATTTATTTTTTTCTGAACTACCTTTTAAAATTATTACAGAGTTCTCCTTATTAATGTCCAAATCCTGTACTCACATTTTCAGTGTGTATTTTTTCTATCTCAAGTACATTTAGGTGTCAATTAAATTTGAAATATCTACATTTGTCAGCATTTCATTTTTGGCCAGTGTGATGTGCTGCTGATTTGTCCATGCATCCTGACACATGAAAAAAGCTCCTGAGATGCAGATCTTCCTCATTAAAAAAGAAACCCATACTATCATAATGGTACGCAGAGCCATGGAGCGCATCCCCAGCTTTATTGCACTGTGTTTCTGACATGATATTTAAAAAGGAACAGCCACGGCTGTCAGTACTGTCATATGCTAGTGCTAACCGAAGACATGTTAAACTAAACATTAGAAAGAGATCAGCAAGTCATCTGCATGGTAACTCAGCTAAGAGATTAGGTAGGCAGGAGCTGGTGCAGTCATGTGGAGATGATGAGGGTTGTAGCTGTGACGGACACATCCTTTCTTCCCTCTAAGGCTGCAGCAGCGCCTGCCTTGTAGCCGGGCTTGCTGTGACCTGCCTTTCAGAGACAGCTCTTTGTGTATGAAATCCTAGCAAGTGGTGGGTGGCAGACTGCAGGAGAGTTGGCGAATTGGGTTAATGAGGGAATCGGTACTTTTTTTGGATTCCACTGCCTCAAGCTAATGAAAAATTTAAACTTGGACGATTTTAAACTGTTCATCCCTTATCTGTGGCCGCAATCTGTTTCAGAGAACACTGACGCTGAAGCTGAAGCGCTTTCTTTTTTCTAATTAGGAGATCCCACTTTCAGGACTCTTCCAACAGCAACAAAAGCGTGCAGGTTATCTTACAATGAATGTGATCCTGTTGCACTGGTCTGCGCCGAGGGGCAAATGATGAATTAGCAAAAGAGATCTTATTTCTTCAGAGCTCGTTTTGTGCATACACACACAGACACAACACGTTTGAATTTGGCGTGGTCTGAAGGCAAACAAAAGGGATCAGAGGCGGTGCTGCGAGGGCAGCGGCACCTGAGATCTGCTGCGTGCCATCGCCAGGCGTACGGCCGGGCAAAGATGTGTGGGCAGTCAGCATCGCTCCTGATTCCCAGAAAACAATTCTAGATTTGCTTGAGTCGTATTAAATGTTATGGTACTTTGCAAAGAGAAAAAGCTGTGTGTGTATATAAGTTCAAAAAAAAATCTATAAGATTCTCATATAAATCAATGTACTCTTTAAGCATCTTTGCTTTCTGAAACTCTTTCAGATAATTTTTTTTTTTTAATGCAAGTTGAAGCCTTTGGATAGCAAAAAAAAATTAAAAAAAGTTTAAAAAATGGCCATTTTTTCCTAATGCAGTGGCAGCTCCCTCTCTTTCCCTGGATGCCTATTATAGCATGAGAGGAAAAGAACAGCTATGCAACAGCTTTAATTGGAGTACCACAGACTATGATTTAACACTATCAGCTGCATCTGCTGCCACCGCTATTTTAGACTTTTTATTAATTAGCTCTGACCTGATTGTGAGTAACATTTATTCACGGTGGCAGTTTGGATCCCCTTGAGCTGTCACTCACAGTGTCCAACTTCTCTTTTTCTGACCTAATGTTTGGGACTGTTTCTCAGAACACTTACATAGTTATTTAACAATTAGACCAAAGAACTAAGAAACACTGAAGGCTGATTATGAATGCGGGAGCAACTGTATCTGTACTATAAAGGTAACAGATCAAATTCCTTTTCTTCCTGCGCTTTTGGTCCTCTTCTGCAGTGTATTCTCTTCTTATCTGTGATGTACGTAGCTGTGAGGTATGTTACCACTGTTCTGTTGCTTATGGGGTCGTGACCTATCCTTTGTCTCCCACGATGAGCCTGATGCTGCTTACATTGAAGTAACAAACTTTATTGCAGACCTCAGTATTAGCAAAACTAAGCTCCCATCTCAGTTGTCAGTCATGATGTACGTTTTGATTCAGTACAGTAGCTGGGATTTTCTCAGTGATATGTGACTGACAAAATGTGGGCAGAATTGTGGATTTCTGTATTGGTTCTATTGCAACAGGGATGTGATTGCAGGTCTTAGCACCCTACCCTACTAGATAACCCTAGAAAACCCGAGGTTTTTAGAAGAGTTTTATTTTCTGCCTAGACAGTACAGCTCAACACATGTCTGCAGAGCTCTTTGCAGTGGCACTCAGTCACGTTCAGAAATTACTTACAGCCTATGAATCACTTGGTTTTCTCTCTCCTCTGCAGCTTGCAATGTGACAACTTGATAACTTCCTTTTCTCTCCCTGTTTCCCTCAGCCTTGTAAAGCCTATGCGACACTATACAGTCTTCCTCTCTGAGGACTCTTCTGATGATGAATTTCAGCAGGAAGAGGATCCTGTATCTGGCTTCTCTGAAAACTTTTTCTTCTCTGCTCCTTTTGAATGGTCTATCCTTTATTCTTTCATTGTATTAATTCAGTCTTTAAACAATGGTTTTTGCATTGGTCAGGGTGCCTGCTTCTTGCAATTTTGGAAATAATCTTGCAATCTTTGTACAACACTTGATGAATGTTCTGCATTTCTCCTGCTCGCTTTCATATTTAAAGGCATGCAAAAATATGCTTCTGCATGAAACACTATGCAGTAATGCACAGTTTATTGCGTTACGTTCGAGTTGAGCTCTGTAGGAGGTTCCTTCCACTTGCCCTTTGTTCCAATGTGCTGCTTGTGTTCCTGTCCAAACCTTCTGCCACTCTTCCTCGTGCAGTGCTAACTGTGCTGTTTGGATTGTCCTGTGAGCTTTATTTCAGCGCAGCCATCAGCTTGTTCCAGTTGTGTGCTCCCTCAGGTACCAGTTCCTCGGTGACTCAGAGCAGTCACCATGCAGAGGACCTACGAGGGTTTTGAGTACAACCTGACATAGAATTATACAAGAAATAGCAAGCTGTTTGTTGGGTTTGTGTGCAGGGTTCTTCAGTGTTTCAGTAATTTTGCAGTGTGATTTCATGCTAAGCAGATGAGCATGCAGAATGTGAGAGATTAAAGATGCAGTCAAGATTTGCAAGATCATTGTTTTCCTGAGGAGTGCCCCATCAGCTGTCTGGTACTTACATTATTACATTCATGTGTTGCTAGCTGATTGCCTACTACTTATTTGTTGATGAAGGAAGTAAGGACTTTATAAATTTGTGTGATAAGGATGTGTTATCATAAAATACGGAAAGAAGAGGAGGGTTCTTCCATATTATCCTTGGCTTTGGAGGTCTCACAAATAGTTTCATTTAATTGAAACCTTGTTTAAATGCCATGGTAAAATTGGCTGCCAGTCAAATCACTGCAGATAAGTGTGTCACTTCTTGTTATTAATTGGATGTGCATTATGCTGCTGTTCTCTGTACACAGAACCTATATGCAAATCTGCTGTTGTTCATTTCTTTTTGCTGAGGTATGTACAAGAAAAGCATCTTGCTAACTCGGCCTTGGCTGTAAATGTAAAATAGGTGTCTCCATAATGGATTGTGGTGTTTCTTGATAACATGACACCAGTACAAACATTGGAACTCTGCACAGTGTTCCCAATTATTGCAGGAAAACACTGAATTATGTTTTGTGCTGAGTTAGCTTGAAACTGGGAATGTAAGTGGCTGCAGAACACCAGCACTTTGTGGTGTGCTTGCTCTGACTTCCTGTGTGCAAGGCCTGAGCACAAGAAAGCCATCTGCCTGAGTGGGAAGGGCCAGGCTGTCACAGCAGAGAGCTGGCATCCATCTATTCCTGCTTTGGGAGACTTGGCTTATCAGTCTGTCTGTAAGTGCATCACCACAGCTTTCCTCCAAGTACTTCCATCTTCCATTTTTTTTCTTCTGAAAACTCCTTGAGTGCCAAAGTCATCTCTGTATGTCTGCCCTCAGTCATTTTGCTCACATGCCTGCTGTTCATGAGATGCTGTATGCTGCATTTTCCTACCCAAAAACAGTTTGTTTGAGTGTTCCAGCTCCTTGGGAAATAGTTGTCTTTAAAAATAAGAGAAAGGCAGTCATTTGCAGCATGATTTTTGTTTTCCTCTCTTGTAGGCCTCAGCCGTACCGGGCTCTGAAAGAATCTGATAGTGCTGATGGGGAAGAGGCTGTCAGTCCAGAAAAGGCAAAAGAGCCTCTGCCTCCAAGCCCTCTCCTCTCCAGCAACGCTACAGAAATCAACCTCCTTGAAGACATTTTCCCTAACTTAGAGGTAGAAACGCAGCCTCAGACTCTCAGCCAGGCTAAGAGCCTGGAAGACCTGCGGACTCCAAAAGAAGAGGCAGATCAGCGATGCACGTTTGATTACCAGGTTTGGACAGAGTTCTATATGCCCTGGGGCAATTTGCAAAGAACTAGGGTTGTCTGTCTTCCATTATTCCTTGAATAATATTTAGATAGTATTGAGTAGGTGCATCCATTTGTCCATGTGTTTCAACGTTCCTTTCTGAATTAAGAAACTATTGAAATGAAACTCAGTTGTCAGATAGTGGCTTTTTTCATTAAAACATCAGTTGGACAATCTAGATTGCTGAAGAGGAATATTCTTTGAAGAACTTCACTGAATATATACAGCTGAGAAAGTGGCAAACTCTAACAGGAAAGAAAAGGATGTAATTTCTACCTTAAAGTAATATTTAATTTAGTGTTAGATCCAGATGTTTCATTTGACAGCTTTTGCTGTACAACAATTGAAGTTTTTCCACTTCCATACCCTAGATATAGATGCGTGCTCCTTACTTGGCTAACAGCAGATGCCACAATATATCACAGCTGAACAACTTCTTAGAGGAAGAGCTGTAACTAACAGTGTGGAGTTCTGCTTCTGCTTTCCTGCCCGTCCTTCTTGGCCATATGCAATTGTCCCTCTCCTTTCGGTGTTCACTCTGTGGACAGGTCTTTGTCCACTCACAGATGAGCAGCCTGTCTTCAGGCTGATCCATGCTGAGAGGAGATCAGTGAAAGTTAACGTTGTTTTCTTGCAGAGAATGGATCTTGCTGGGTCTGAGAGGAACAGGATTGTGCCACCAATGAAGCTGTCTCACCCTTACAACAAGCTGTGGAATATGGGTCATGATGACATGGCTATTCCTACCAAGTACTCCCAAAGCTCACCAGAAAGGCCCCTGACTGCACTTGGCAATGTACCGCCAATCACAAGGAGACCCCGGAGCAGAGACAGCATTCTGGCTTCTGCAGAAAAGGATGACTCAAATCCTGCTGCTCAAGGGAATATCACCATTCCTAGGCCACAGGGAAGAAAGACTCCTGAACTGGGGATAGTGCCACCGCCGCCAGCACCCAGGGCTTCCAAGCATCAGACTCCAACTGGGCCAACAGAAATTCTCAGTGCTCACACAGGATGTAGCCAGTTGGTTTCAGATCTTATCCCGGAGCCCTTAGGAGTTGCTAGGTTGTCCTTAGAACCTGAAGTCCAGCAGTCTGTAAATTATTCCTCTTGTTCATCTCAGCTTTTGTCCAGTGCTACCAGCACTGCAGAGATGCTCCAACCTGTCAGGGTGAAGACAGATAATACAGGTAATGAAAGTGACTACCTTCTGAATCTGCTGGATCCATTAAAAGCAGCCAGCTGGCAAAGCAGTGGCCCCCAGCAAGGTTCCTGCAGCCTGCAGAGCTCAGTCACTCCACCTTCTGGAGCTGGCTTTATATCAGTGGCAAGTGACTTTGTGCCTCCTCCAGCTGCACCATTTATCCAGTCACTCAGTTATCCTTCCCCAGCACTGCCACCTTTTTTACAGGCATCTCCTAATCCATTCACACAAACGGTGCCAGGACCTCTTTCAGTGTCTCTTGTTAGGCCCCCAAGGGGCTCTTTCACCCCCACATTAGGTCATGCTTATAGTTCTAGCTTCATAACACCTAATTCTAGTTTATATCCACCACACAGACCTCAACCAAACATTTCAACATTGTCCATGCCTAACTTGTTCAGCCAGGCTCCAGCGATGTCACCAGCTGGCTCCTTACTGCTGCAGAGCCACAGCCCTTCTCCAGCGAGCTCTCTACAGCCAGCATGTTTAAGTGGTCCTTCTAAAACCAGAACGTTGCATGTGGGCAAGTCCACTTCCAAGGTAGATACCCAACAAGCACTAGCTCTTCTGTCTAATGAACCCCCTTTGATCCCTTCCAGGCCAGCTAAGGGCTTAGAGTCAGTGTTACTGTCCTCAAAACCTGAGGAGACAAAAGATCCATTTGAGGATTTGTTAAAAAAGACCAAGCAAGATGTGTCATCCACACCAGGTAAGGTTGAACAGCTCAGAAGGCAATGGGAAACCTTTGAATAATGTTCCCAGTAGTCTTTTGATGTCCCTTTGGAATTGACAGGATGTTTTTGTTTTCTTTTTGAGCCAGCATACAACCAAGCATTTCTTTTATGGCTGCAGGACCATTGCCATGCTGCAATTCACATGACTGCTTTTTGCCCAGAATTTGTTCTGCTTGGGAGTTCCCATGTTGTTCTGATCCCTGCAACTGTTTCCTCACTTTCTGCCACTAAACACACTCATGACTCTTGCACTGATCAAAGCATGAAGGTGGTTGGTTTGGAATTGATTTGGTTTGGTTTTCCACGCATCGCTTTTCAGTCAGTACTACTGAAGCAGAATTTACTCCATGTATTTTCAGCCCTTAGTGCAGCCAGCAGCATGACACAGCTCACCATGCCAGAGTTTTCTTGCTGCCTGTCTGAATGGCGTTGAGCTCAGTTTTTCCTGTGTTGCATACATCACTATAATATTTTGCTTTCCCGTGTGGAGTGCAGCAAACAAACCCAGACTTATGGGCTGTACTGAGTTAATAATCCATTAGGTTCCAAGTTTGTCCTGTCAGGCATTCATTAGGTCATACTACTGGGTGAACTTTTGTTGCAAATTTTTCATTTCCCTTCTCCAGTGTGCTGACACTGAGAGGTAATGGGGACCTCTGGTGTAGAATTGTCACAGTTCTTTGTTACAACAAAACCACAGCACAGAGCAGTTGCTCAGGGTTTGGTCCTGCAATCCTGTTGGGAAACTGGAAACACCAGCAATTGATTTTGTTTGTTTGTGTTTTCTGTTGTGTTTTTTTTTTTACTTTTTTTTTGTTGTTGTTTGATTATTTTTTGTTATATATATCAGAAAATAGAGTCCATAAAGAGTATCCTAGTATGTGTATGTTAATATTATATATAAACATTATAGATGGCAGTATATGAATGGGATGTAACAATGTCTTGATTATTTAAAAAAAAAAAAAGAGAAAAAATGGAGTATAAAAGCCCATGAGTTCAGGCTCATGAGTTCAAGTTAAATGCCAGTGTACTGACAAGATGGCCCAAGTGCAGCGAGATGAAAGCTGCAGTGCTTGTCTGTACAGACAGAAATCAGACTCAAGTGGAGCTGAGTAAGTCACATAATGCTGGAAGGCCAATCCCTGGCAGCTGCCTGTCACTGCTGGGCTTCAGATGTGCTATAACTGCTACCTTGAAGCAGTGGGATTTCATTCTGGTCTGCAAGGCTCTCCACTCCTTCAGCCTGTCTTAAAAACCACAATCCTCGCCCTGCTTTTGATGAGAACCATTTGCTGGTATAACGAGATGCTAACTGGACCATGAAAAGGACTGTGAGGTCACAGATACAAGGATGCAATGAAAAGGTTAAAGGGTACGTTCATCCTGATTTTCTAAGACTCTTATCTATGGCAATAGTATCCTCAAGAAATTTCATCTTAATCTTAGCAACTCCTTTAAAACCTGCTGTCTTTGCAGTGATCATTTCTGTTTTACTTAAGTGGTGCTTTTTTTGGATTTGTTTTGTATTTGGGCAGTCACATTTAAAACATCACTCCATCGAGGTAATCACATCACCATTAAGCCTTTGATAAAGGAAATCATTTTGAACACGTGGGGAAATTCTTGTAAGCTTTATCAGAATTATTTCCAATGTATCTATTTTATTCATATAATCTTGGAGGTTTTCTTACTCTAGTGTATGAAAATGGCTGTCTATGCGTTTGAGTCTGTGCAATACAAAAGAGAAATACTAATATCTGAAATGCAAACAATTTGAGAAAGACCATAGTGTTGCATCAATATTTCTGTAAAGCACTGTTACTCTTACAAGCCATGCAATTGAATTTGTATTTTCTTTTTGTGCTGGAAGACAGATGGTTTTAGTACTGCATAGTAAAATATTTAAAGTCTAAGACAATAGCTCCATTTCGTTTTATACAAACATTATGTACAGATCCAGTCTGGAATTTGCGGGTTTCCTTTAGTGTGAGTTAGATGGGAGAAAAAAAAACCTTCCTCACTTGTGGTGGATCCATACAAGCACCACTATGTAGCAGATGATGTGCCATTGGAATTTTGCATCTTTTTGTGAGTTGTTTTTTTCTCCTCCCTTCTTTTTTCTTGCCACACACTGATTTTTTTCTCACCTGCAGTGAATGGTCTGTGCTGCCTGCATTTTTTCTGTTTTTTACATGTGTGTGAAACTCTCCAACAGGAGATTGACATCTGCTCCGTTTCCTCTCTGTTTCGGAGGTGGTTAAAGTCTGTCAGTAACACAGGACTGCCATTTTTCAGGGAAGGTAACACGAGAGGTTGGGTCAGTGACACTGCAGAAGGCTGTGTGCAGCAGCTTATCTTTTGTTAAACAGGAATGTGTGACGTGCTGCCTTCAAAAGAGCGTGTAAGTAAATGATGGCTGTATGTTTCCCAAATTCTGTCCATTTGCACGAGAGGATTTGTGTTAGTTTATTTGCCATTTTTTAATGTGTTTTGTGCTTTTTCTATGCGTACCCTGTAGGTTTTATGACCAAAGTGCTTTTTCCAGCACTGGCAGATTAATTGCTTTGTGTATAAACACAAAGCCTGTTAGCTGCTGCTTCTTACAACATCCAGGTTTGGAAAAACCTGTTTCACTTTGCTTGTGACTGTTGGAGGTTAACAGATGTATTTTTTTAAATCTCTGCACTGTGAAACGGTGATGACAAGAGCTGCTCTGGTCCCCCAGTGTCCTTCAGGAACTTAAGAAGTTTGTGGCAATACAGGAGATGAATTCCCACCCTGGAACTGCCTGGTTCCACCACGCTCAGCTCTGTGATAATCCTGTGCCCATGTTTTCAAATGGTGCAGCAGCTTGGCGTCATAAAACAAACGTAAGCATGTGATTCATTGTGTAGCACTGTAAAATTAATTGCTTAATAGAGTTAAACGTTTTGGCAGAGTAGGGGCTTTATGTAATCTCACCGCTCTTTTAATGGATGCATAAAACTAAAGCAAGGGCAAATGCCTACAGTTAGTTAATTTTCTGTGGAACGTTTGCTTAAGTTGCCAGAAACTGAGTGTATTTTCTCTGAAAGACTGAGAATTGTCTTCTGAGGAGCTTGCACCAAATTTTTTCACATTTTTTAATTTAAATCCATTCCCTTTTGGCCCATTGCTCTGCAGCAAGCACTGTGATTATCTGTCTCTGGTTTCAGGCTCACCTGGTTGTGCTTATTGCAGCAGTTACCTCAGTGCCAAAGCGGTCGTTACATCCCATGATGCTGATGTGTTGCTGTTACATGGAAGCAAACTGGATGTGCAGTTTAGTCGTGTCAGGTGTACCTCAGTGGCTCTGGGTGTTCCACTGCACAGGGATGCTTACAATACCAAGCAGTCAGTGCAGCCGTTTCAGTTATAGTCATTTATTTCCACATTCCAGCCTCCCTTCCAGGCGCTCCAGTTCAGGCTGCTCACTCTGAGCTCTGTCCATTAGCAGCTCTCCTGCCAGGAAAGAGCTTGCAGCTGTCCCGCAGCTGGAGCAGGGCTGCCACCAGCAGCTCCTGTGGCACAACTGCGGAGCGAAGTTCCCAAGGCTGCATGGGGTGAGCGGTGCAGGGCGCAGCTGTGCTTCTGCTCTGCCATTGCTGACAGCAGCACAGCCTGAGCCACTTGTCCTTACACAGCACATCTCTGCATCCATCCCTGTGATGCACTGGCTGAGGGCAGGCATCAGGTCAAGAGCCCAGCTGGCCCCACCTCCAACTCCTGCCTCTGGCCCCTGGCAGCTGGGAATTACAGAAGAAGTCTTCGGACTCAGGGAGGTAGGAGAGATCTGTGAAGTCTTTTTACAGAGAAAATGTTATTCTGAAGGCTTGAATGTGAACTTCCTTTGACATTTAGTCCCAGCTGTGGGCAGAATCTCTCCAGCTACATCGGGTCAGATGATGTAAAGACTGAAGTGTGGTCCTCTCTGTTTTTTTCCCTTGTGCTGGAGAGTGCTGGCCCCCATTTCTCCAGAAGAGAACTTCTGCCGCTGCAGAAATCTGTCCTGCCTTAGGCTGCTTCGTACGCCAGGGCTCTACACACAGATTTTGTGTCTTTGCTCATAGCTGTGCAGGTGAATGGCATCACTGACAGCTCAGCGCAGTGTGGAGTAGCACATACTTCAGTATAGCTTAACTGAGAATGCAACAGGTTCAGTAGCTCCCTTCTTTATTTCTACAATAGGACTTTAGTAACTGCTGTGCAGATTTGCTGTTTAGAGTTACGGTGTGTGACAGAAATAATAATAATGAGCAACTTAATTAATGCAGCACGGAAACTTGTGGCTGAGCAAACTGTTACAGACCAAAATCAGCAACCTAGAAATCAAGTAGAGATTTGCCAAGAAGTGATCACAGATCATGGTAACTAGGTCTATTTTTATACATGTTTTATTGTAAACTTATTTTGAGGGACATTCTAAATCTTTTTTTTTTTTTTTTTTTTTTTTAATTTTTTTTAAACAAATTATAAAGTTTACAATTAGAAAAGAAATCAGGATCACAACAATTAACTACAGCAAATCCAGTTTTGTGAAAAAATATATTCAAAAATTAAATATAAAAAGAGAGTTAAGTTCATTATTGAAAAAAACAAAAAGCTTTCATAATTTATTTTGCAGAAATGCTCAAGACACTGACAAAGTATTTTTACACTTATCCTAGTACTGGCTTTGGGTGCTTGAAATATAAACTTCTGCTCTATTAATCCTGTAAAGCAACTGAGCAGCAGCCTTCCTGCTGACTACCCCAAGAACAGCAGGAGATGCAGACAGATTCACTGCTTGCACCTCGCTGGCTTTTAGGTGTCCGCTGCTGGGGGACGTGCAGCTACTTACTGCCTTTCAAGATATTTCAGTAGCTCAGCAATAGTCAGTTCTTACATCACAATTTGTTTTTTCTTCTCAAATAATACAGGTTAGAGTAAAATTTGTTCATTCAGACCCTTTTGCTGCTTTCATTTTTCTACAATTCTAACACAAAAGAATGGAGCAGACCTAAAAAGTAGCAGTAATTCTCATCTCCTGGCACTGACCTGGAGGTTAATCAGGCCTGTTTGGGGAAAACCAAAAGCATATTTTAATCTTGCTGTTGCCTTATGGGACGAAGAAAAACCACACCTACCTTTGCAATTTAAGTAAAGATTATGCAGGAGGACTGTGACAGGACATGGGGCTCTGCCTCAGCCCCCTGATATGAGTGTGGGGTGCAAATCCTTTCTCCCCATGAGATAAACACACCCTTCGCTTCAGACAGGGCAGGTCTCAGACCCAGCCTGCATTTCTGTTTCCCTAGAGGAGACACGGTAAGCAGCTCTGCAGCCAGTTCTTCCCCTTCAGACCTGCTCTCCCAGAAAAGCACTGCCTGCTTCATTTGTTTATCCCTGTTGCCAAATGATGCCAGGGAAAATTGCACTCATGTTTTCTTAAGGTGTGCAGCTTAACTCTTTCCCCTGTAGCAAGCTGACTGGACAGTGTAACTGTCTCTATTCTAGAAGTATATTAGACCCTCCTAAATAGCATCTGG